TTAGCTGCTTTATCTGTTCAGAGGTGATGTTTGGGAGACTCAGTGGGGGGTGGTATGGGGAGTTCTCCCCTGGAGACTGGGCCCCTTCTGATCTTCTGGGGAGGCTTCCCCCACTGCAAAGTAGCAGTCTCTCCTTGCTTCCCTTTCTCACTCCAGTGACATGCCCTTTAGATGCCTGAGAGTCTTTCTGAAGATCTGTGGGCCTCAGGCACCATCTGTCTTCTGGAATCCCCTAGTCCTAGTGTGGGGCTGGGCATGGCAGAGCTGCAGTTTCTGCCTCAGAAGGGGAGAGATGAGAGAGGAGAAAAGGTGGCTAAGACGCAGCAGTTGGCTGAGAGGTGTATGTGAGGGGTGTGCCATTTGAGGGGGTGTTTTGTCGTGGGCCTACCCATCAGCTCACCAGGGGAACAGGCAGAGATGTCTGTCTCTGAACAGCTTCTCCCCAGGAGCTGCACTCTTTCTCCTGTGAATTTGGCTGCACACTAAGGAGGTGTGTATGGGTCCAGAACATACCAGTTCAGACCAGTGAGCCCTATGCCAGAGTGGATGAGGAAGGATCCCCCACCCAGAATTTTGCAGAAACCTAAGATTGCACCCCAAAGCAGCTAGCAAACCATGTTCTTTTATTCTTGAGTGAGAGCCTTGTTATTTGAAGAGGGCTTCTCCTTGCTGCCCCATTTGGAGAGAAATCTCTTGGGCATCTGTGATGTACACACCCAGCGCCAAGGGGAGAGCTTTTTGCAGGATTCACATCCACTAAAAACCAGGTTAATTGGCATGGTGCTTGGATTATGTAACACTGAACTCTCATTTTTAATAACATTCAAAGAGCTTTTTACCTGCCTTCTAATTTTATGCATGAGTGCCCTCTGCAGCAGGCAGGTGGGAGTTTTTTCTCCCAGTTTAACAGGTAGAAAGCTGAGCTCTAGAGAGTAGTGTACTTGGCCCAAAGCTGCACTCTGAGCTGGGTATAGTCAGGACAAAGACCAAGAGTCCCCAGCTCCCAGGGGCCCTTTGAATGTTAAAAGTCCAGCTTTATGTTATTCCTCCAAACTGACTCTTCGTTCCTTCAACAGGGCTAGTGGTGGTGAATCATTACCTAGCATTTCAGTTTTTTGCAGAGGAATATTATCCTTTCTCAGAGGTAAGAAGCATTCAGTACCTCAAACTACTGATAGGGACAGAGGAAGTAAAGGGGACTTGCATGACTTACTTTGTGAACTGAGCTAATATTTGAAACTGAGTCTATTCAGGGATAACACATTTTTTAAGAAAACATAGTGTAGATGATTTTAGAAAGCAGTGTAGGTGAACAGGGATCCCTTTGGCTGAGGCGAGGAGGGCCCTGCTCTACCCTGATGGGTCCTTTGGGTCTCCCAGGATCCTAGCCTAACACCCCGAGGTCGGGAAGGGGCAGGGGGCCTTATCTGACACAGACCTCATGCAGCCCTGAGCCCCAGCTCCCCTCAATGGCCTGCCAAGGCTTTTTCCTCTCAATATTTCTCCACACACTGCTGCCCTAGTTTGGACCTCCCAGAAAGAGCAAGGCACTTCTTTGGGGAACATGAGTCAGTCACAGTTTTGCCCTTCAGTTCAGAGGAGTTGCTTGTCCTCGGGACCAAGATTTGAGGATTTGGCCACACTTGGTCAGCTTCAGCCTCCACCTTTCCTCAATGAAGTAGCTCCATACTTGGGATGTCCTGTCTCTGCTTCCCAGGCCCTGATCTCCTTCAGAGATTGGGTGTGGGGCCTTCTGCACACTCTTGACTACCTCTCTTAATATACCTGGTGACCATGCCTGGGCACCCTCTTCTCAGTGTCTCTTGTTGCCAGGTCCTGGCCTACTTCACTTTCTGTCTGTGGATAATCCCATTTGCATTCTTTGTGTCACTGTCGGCTGGGGAGAATGTCCTGCCCTCCACCATGCAGCCAGGAGGTGAGGAGGGGTTTATAAAGGGTCAAGGTGGGAGGACTCCAGGAAAGCCTGAGTCGGCTGGGGGAGCTGGAGCACAGCCCTGTTATGGAGACCCTTGGGCTCTGGGTGGGGAGAGCTGTGTTCCCATTCAGATACACACCAATCTCCCTGCCTATGTCTCCACAGATGACGTGGTCTCCAATTACTTCACCAAAGGCAAGCGGGGCAAACGCTTAGGGATCCTGGTTGTCTTCTCCTTCATCAAAGAGGCCATACTACCCAGTCGTCAGAAGATATACTGACCCCCCTTGGGAGGGCATGTGGGGGCAAGATTGGGAAAGTCAGGCCCCTGGGCCTCTGCACTGGGTGGGGGCCATGAGCCCGGAAGTACCTTCCCCAGCCGAGGCCCTCCTTCTGTTGATTCTCCCTGAAGCCGCCATCCCCACCCTCCTCAGGGGGCTCAGCTTGGCTCAGATCTGACATTGCTAGAGGCTGTGACTCCAGAGGGAACCAGGCATGGTGGCAGAGCCTGCTTAGCCAGTAGGCCATGGTCTGCCTGATTGGGTGGAAGCTGAGCTCCCTATGGCACTTCCACACCCTTCCATGGTGGGTCAGGAGGTTCAGGCTCAGCCGTGGCGGGCAGGGCAGTGGGGCAGCAGGGCAGGGGCCGTGAAGCTGGAGAACAGACGGTGATAAATTCTCTGGGCAGATGGCCTTGGGGAGGGACCATGGCTTGGCACTTCCAAGAGAAACAGTTTTTGCTGTTGAGCTGTGATTTCTGTCCAAGTGCTGATTCCCATTTGAATAAAGATTCTAGGTGGCACTGTTTGCCTTAATACCCTGAAAGTTCATCTTCCTTTCTTCCTGCTGACCTTCTGCTCTGGACTGTCTTTTCTGCTCTAGGGGCTCCTTTTCTGGTTTTGGGTCTTGGCCATTGGGAAAGGCCATTCTTAGGGCCCTTAGTGGGAAGTGGGTAGAGATGAGCAGGGCTGGCCAGGGAATAGGGAGCTGAGGGTGGAAGCAGCCTGCCTTAGGCCTGTCCCTTTTCTTCTATGTCTTCTTTCCCCACGGCTTCATGATTGTCAAGCTGGAGGCAGAGAGGGGACAGTTTTTCAGAAAAACATCTACAGTATCTATTCATAAGTCTTTCCTGTTGCAGTCGGGGACCACGAAAATGAGAAACCAAGTCAGAATGACATTTTAAGCAGAGGGCTTAGACTTTCTCAGGAGACTAAGTGCCAAGTCAGCATTCCCCTGCACTTTTACTAAGTTACAGCAAGCAAAAAGACAGGCATCGATTAACGATTATAGGATGAGTTTCTTCATCAAGCTAAACAATTGCAAGCTAATTATTTCTTAAAGTTTCTCTTATGTCTCCTCAAGTCACCTGGCCATGTGAGTCTCACGGTGTGTTCCTTATCTGGGTTTGCCTCTGGAAGGATCATGAGAACTGTTTGCAGTCCTTGTCACACTGCTCATGACTAGCAACATATTCCAAGACACAGCACCTATTATTCTTTTCTCTAAGATCAGTTTCAGCTACAAATCATATTGTTCTTTCTCTTAAATTAGTTTTGGCTATAGATTAAGCTTAAGCAGGAACTAAATTATAGCACTTTCTCTGGGAAAAAGGAGTTGTTTCTGGCTGAATTCTATCTCAGGCTCAAGGAGAAACAAAATAAAAACTGACTTCCAGGCATCCTGGGCTACAGCCTGTTTTGTAAGAAATGGGACTGATGGGAGAACGTTGTGTCACTCTCAGAGCACACAAGGGCTGGCCCTTTCTTCTGGGTGCTCTTGACCCCTGGGGAGATAACCTCGGTCTTCTAAGAAGGTAGGCTGGATCCCAGGCACAGACCAGCATTTGTTGACCTTGCACTCCAACTATAGTGCCTTGCAAGTACTCAACAGTACATTTTAGAATGAAGTCCCCACAAGAGCTGTACTTGCCATGTCCTATACCTCAGCGAGGCTGGCAGATGCAAGGATGGACTGCACACATGGTATCTTTAAGTCACTAGGAGGGCCCTATGCTTGAAAATCATTCCTCTACATCTGCCTCAAGCCCTACCATAGCACTTTGTTTCCTTGGCTTTAGCATTTCCTGTTCTCTTAAAAATACCAGCCTTCCCCTTTCCCAGGCGTAGCAGTGCATTTTAGTCCTCTCTTTGCGGGAATGAGATTGCCTTTTTATCCTAGGCAGACAACAGCAGGCAGGGGAGAGGACACAGGAGGCCGACGTCATCCTCACGGGCCAGCACTGGCCCTGCCTCCCTTGCTATCCACCTCTTTGTTCCTCCCCCGGTGATGTGGCTTCTCTCCTGGGTGTTCCCAGTGGCCTTGTTATGCTCATTCATTCTGCGGGACCCTCTTCATACCTAACCATCCTGGATCTCTGCAGTATGTGTTAGGGCTGACCACCCCCAGCTTGTGGAATTGTGCTCCCGGGCACTTTGGTTGCTGGGCTTCCTCCTACCTCTCTGGCTGCTCCTTTCAGTTTCCTGTGCAGGCTTCTCCATTGGCCCCATACACAGTGGGGTTTCTCAGGGTTCCATCATGGTCAAGTTGAGCCTTGACCTCCAGCCCCAGCATCCCTTCTGGTCTTTTGAACCACACAGTTCTGCTGCCTTTTGGCACACAGACAACTTGAGGCCTACTTGTTGCTGTCCTCTGCAAACCTGCCTTTTTTGGGTTCCTCCTATGGCCCCAAGATCACTCAGGAGCCAGACCAGAAACCTGCTTTCTAGCCCTTCATTCTCTTTCTGTCCCCCGACAACCAAGCTCTAAAAACTGTTAAATTTACCTTCTTAACATCTCTTGATTTGAGCCACTCCCACTGTCATCAGCTAGCACCTGGATTATTGTGACAGCCTCCTTCTGTTTCTCTACCCCACAGCCAGAGTTGTCCTTCTAAAATGCATAGTTGACCAAGTCCTTCCCTGGCCTGCAACCAACCTCCCATGGCTCCTCACTGCCTCCAGGATAAAGTCCAGCCCCCTTAGCATGGCTAAGGTGAGACTCACGGGCCTGGTTCCTGCTCACCTCTCTGGCTCATCACTTGCTACCTTACACTCTGGGTCCCAGCCGCCTGTATCCAGAGATGCCACTTTGATTTTCTTTTCTTTTGCTCACCTGGGTACCTTTGTCAGTTCTCAACACAGATTCACTTCATCCAAGTAGCTCTGTCCCCTCTCTCCCCAGCACACCACACAGGTTGCTCTGGGCTTACTTGCCTGCTTACTGGTCTATCTCCCCACTAGACTGTAAGCTCCTTGAGGGCAGGGACTGTCCTTCAGTTTTTATATCAACAGTGCCTGGCTTGGTGCCTGGCAGATAGAAAGCACTTAATAAATATTTGTTGAATGAATGATTTGTAGTGCTGTGTACAGGGGATAGCAGGGCATCCAGAAAAGCTTCCGGGAGGAAGTACAGGTGCTCTCTGAGTCTCAAATGGAAGTCACAGGTCCTCCCTCCCTCTCCCCAGATATGCCATCACCGCCTCTGCCTCCTTGAGCTGCAGAAACCATAGTGGCAGGGAAGTGCATGCTGTCTTCTACCCCACTCTGGGTCTGGAGAGGAAAAGTGAGGCTTATGGCCAGCAGCAGGAAGGAGTTGATCTGAACAAGAGGCAGAATTTCCCAGTAGCTCCCTCATCCTGGAAGCCTTGTCCCTGCTGGGCTGGGGATTTTTGAGGACGGGGTGGGACACTAGAGTGTCATTTTGAAAATGCTATGGCCAAGGACAGAGACTGACTGCCACTCTGAACTTTGGGCCTCTGCCCTAACTTGGATCCCCTGGAGTGTCCCAAAAGATTTCTTTGTGGAGAGAAGGGATCTGGGTTTTTGCTGGGGAGAGGGGCCTCCAACCTCGAGCTTGGGAATGGCAAGCCAGTGGGCACGTCTCCCCCTCCCTCTCTATCTGCAGCATGAATCACCACACTTTAGCCTTCACGTGCTGCCTCAGGTTGAGAGGCTACCAAAATTTATGGGGAGGGCTTGGGGGAGGGCAGAGTAGGGGACCCTTGATGGGCTCTCACAGCTGCCAGGAAGGCATCGTCAAATGTTTCACGCAGGTTCATGGCCAGGGTGTCCGTCCAGGAGCTGTCATCACCCAAGCGCCGTTTCCGAGGCACATTACTCAGGCTGAGAGAGCAAAAGCCCTGGGGCACCTTCATCCTGTAGGGCCGCACTGAAGGGTACAGCTCACGGACTATCACCTCGAAAGGCAGCTGGGGCACAGGGGCCACCTGGTTGCCAGCCACCGTGCGCAGCTGTGTCCCACCATGTCCATCAGAACTCACGTCCAGGAAGCTGCGGAAGTCGTGCTCCGAGCTGAGGTCTGGATGCACAGCCAGGCGGCTGCCCTGTGGGTAGCCAATCTGGGTGGTGGGGGATCTGGCAGGGTTGTTACTGATATTCCACAACTTGGGCTGCCTGACCGTGGACTTTGTATAAATGGGCTTGGGTATCACCAAGGGCTGCATCCTAGGCCGTGGTGTCTGTCGCAGGTGTGCCTCCAGGGAAGGGTGGAAGCTTTTGGGAGGCCCCAATCCCTGGTGGTTGGGGGTCTCGGAGAAGGCAATAGACCGGCATGGGGCACTGGGCTCTTGCTTGGTGCTTTGGAGCGGCAGCTTGCAATGGAGCCATTTCTTGAAATCAGCCTCTTTTAGAATTTGGTGCTCTTTCTGCAACATCAGAGGGCTCAAGATAGTCGTGGAGGGCTGCCTGCCCTATGCTTCTCCAGGAGGAGGCCGTGTGATTTTAACCCTTGGAAACTTCAGGTCCCATTGACCAGATACAGTTGCCCCCAGGGGAGCTCTGAGCCTGATGGGATATACCTCTGTCTTACGGGAGCCCTTGTTCTGAAGGGAGCCCCTGGGGCAGACAGAGCCTCTCCCCTAGGGAAGACCTTCCATCTGATGGAGATACAGCCTTCCCCGAGGTAAGGTCTCAAACTTGAGTGGGGAGACACAGTCCCTACCCTAGAGGAAACCTTTGATCTTGGGGTGGAGGAGGGAAGCCTCCACTCTGACAGTGGAGACATGTCCTGCCCTGAGAGAGTCTCCAATTTGATGAGGGAGAAAGGCAAATGAGAAGGACAGACTGCCTCCTTGACCATGAAAGGAGAAAGCAGAAAGGTTTGGAAGGCCTGGAACTGGGTGGAGCTGATCTGGGCAGGCTTCCTGGAAGCACTAGGCCTTGAGCAGCCAGGTAGCAGGGATGCAGTTGGCTGACTCTGGGTGGTAATGACTTGGTCTAGCTTTCTGTCCTTGCCTCCATTAGAGTTAAATCTTCAACTTGTCCTTAACCATAATTGTCCCACCCCCTTGCCTCAGTGTCTCACTACCCAGACTTGCTTGGCAATCAGGTGGTTTGGAGATTGACCTAGCTCTGGAGGTTGACTCTGATTAGGCTTAGCCAATCTTAATTCTCATCAGCCTTGCCTGACCCAGGTCAGTCAGCACATGGCTTTCCTTTAGCCCTAGGAATTGGAACAAGAATGAGCTATGATCCATTGAGGCCAATAAGAGATAAGGGGAGATGTGCAAAGGGTTTCTGGGAAAGTTGATAACCACGGGAAAAGATGGGCTTTGCCTCCTCTGGACACATGTGACTGTGAGGACTGGGTGACACCCACATCAGAGGCTTGTAGTGCTGAGAGAACTGGAGAGAAACGCCGCTGGTACAGAGCTGGAATACTGGATTTTGCCAGCCCCAAAGCCCTCCCTACTTCTGGATCCACTTTGGATTCCCAGCATCCTTTTCCTGGGTTTTCTGGTTCTTGCATCCTATATAATTACACCTGCTTAAAATCCTTTAGCCACACCCCTTTTCATCCCCAACCAAGGTCTGTCATTGATCTGGGCCCCTGCCAAATCTCTGGCTTGGCAGTCTCCAGCTCATGTCTGACCCTGGCTGCAGTGCACTTGCTCTTCGTGGCATGCACGTGCACCGTGCGCCCCTAGGCCTCTCCAGGGGGCTGGCTGTTCCTTCTACCTGGTCAACCCTTCCCTACTTTCTTACACAGTCAACTGCTGCCCTTCTCTAAAGACCCATCAGGCATTATCCTGCTGGACTCCCTCCTCCTCCATGGAAATACAAGCCACACCCCCTGCTAGACGGTAAATTCCTTGAGTGAGGGGACCACAGCTCATTTGTCTTTATATCCTCAGAGTTTAATAGCAGTTGCCTAACAGAGAATGAGTGCCCAGTGTCTGCTGGAAAGAAGGATGGATCTTTAAAACCAGTGTGTGGCCCAATATAGGCAGGGCCTGGGTCTCAATAGAGATTCTCCTCATCCAGAAGGAGGCAGTTCACAAGGAGGGGCTCCCTAAATACTTGCTGATTTAAGCTGTATTTGCTTTCTAATACAACATGTTCAACCTAAAGAGTGGCTGTGAATGAGGGTAGAATTTCTGTCAGAGGAGGGGAAGAGGGAGGCTCTTTCTGGATAGGACTGCTTATAGCCACTCTTCTAACTAACTGCCCTTGCCAGTCACTGCCACATCTGCACACAGGCCTGGATAGCAGCTGATGCCCAGCATCCCCACCTACCCGCCCTACCCCTTACTTGATACTCAGTCAGGTAGTCCTGCTTCATGAGGGCCAGCTGGTCCTTGAGCTTCTTCAGTTTCCCCATCTCACAGGCAAAGTCCTTCTTGTCCTGTTTCCACATGGCATCCTTCAGGAACCTGGTATTGTGGTGGGGGAGTGTCAACCCCCAGTGACTGAGCCTCAACCTGGGATTGCGAAGACTGGGTCTGCTGAGGATCTGGATGAGAGTGGGAGGAACTGCCAAACACCCCACTCCCCACCCCACTGGCTGACTGCTGACCTGTGAGGTGAGAGAGGAAAGTGATAGTCTGATCACTAGCCTCCTGCTGAGAGCCAGGGGCCTGAGGGCTTGGAAGAAGGGCAATGCTAAACCCAAAGGGAGAGGTCCTGTGGAAAGCCCTGGGAACAATATCCTGGGAAGGGTCCTCCTCAGCAGACTTATCCCCTAACCATCTGGCTTCCCAGAGCCTCCTCTTAAAGGCTTAGCCTTGGGTGAGGGCCCTTGGGGAAGAGCTGGGAGAGGTGAGGAGTTGCAAGTTGTCGGTGGTTCTCACACCCTCACCGGGCACAGACACGGTGGTTCCATATTTTGCAGTAGTCGATGGGCTTGCAGCCCACACCATCTTGGATATGGACATTGGCGCCATTTTGCACGAGGATCTTCACACAGCTCAGCAGGCCCTCCTGGGCTGCCAGGTGCAGGGGCGTGGAGCCATTGCATGTTTGGCTGTGGAGGGCCCCGCCCGGGGGAAGAGGGCAGAAAGGAAGGACAAAAGGGCATCTGCCCATCAGATAGGTGGGCAAACCAGCTTCCAACCCTGCTCTGCTACCCACCCACTGGGTGACCCTGGCATGTCCCTTCTCTTCTCTTGTACCTCAGTTTCCTCAACTGTAGAAAGAGGGTTTGGACTAAGTGAATAGTAAAAGTCTGATTATGGGGGTATGTGACAGAACCTGCTGGAGAGTTGGGTTGGCTGGAGCTCAGAGACCACTAACTTCATCCACTGTTAAATCAACCAGTCTTCCTACCTTCCCCATAGCCCACAAGATCTGCATGACCTTGGCAGATCGTCAACCTCATCCTCTGACCTTGCCCTACTCTCTTCCAACACAAGGCCTTTGCACATCATGTTCCCTCTGCCTGGAACACTCTTGCCTGGCTCTTTGCGGACTGGCTCACTCTCAGTCTTGAAGTTGCAATTAAATGTTACCTTCTTAGAGGTGACTGCCCCTTCCAAAATAGATCCTCTCCCCGCTTCACTCATCACCCCATCACCCTATTTCCTTCATTACCACTTACTACACTCTTTTTGTTCATGTATTAATTTGCTGATTTACTGTCCACTCCTGCACTAGTGTAGCAGCTTCATGAGAGCAGGGACCATCTCTGTGTGTTCATTGCTATATTCCTCACTCTGGAATACTGCTGAACACAGTGCATGCTTGATAAATATTTTGAGTGGATACAATCTCCCATATGCCATCCATGTACTTTCCATGCATTTTCTCAATTATCACAATAGTCTGTTATGATAAGCACTGTCGTCTTCCCAAATTTCAGTTGAAGACGCTGAGGAAATAGTTTTCAAATTTTGTTGCAAAGTAGAAATGCCTGGGGATGTTTTTTTTTTTTTTTGGACTTCCAAGCCCAGATCACACCCCAGAACAACTAAATCACAATCTTTGATTGGAACAAAGGCATGGATATTTTTTGAAGCACCCCAGCTGATTCTAAGGTACCAACAGGCTTGGGAACCAGAGCATTTAATGTTGAGTGACTTGCCTGAGATCCCTGTTCATTAGCAGGTGGCAAAGCCGGCACATGAGCTAGGTCTGTCCTCTCCCAAAGCTCAGTCTCCTCTATACCACATGGCTTCCATGACTGCTCTATGTGTGACCCAGTCCTTGTCTCCCCACCACTCTCTGCCTGTCCTGCTCAGATCTGCCTGCCTGGAAGTGGGGTTCCTGAATCTGCCTGGCCTCCAGGCCACTTCTAACTCAGGCTGGACTCACGGGTTGATGTCTGCCCCCTGCTTAAGTAGATAGTGAATGCAGGGGAGGGCCATGGACTTGTTGTCCCCATGGATGACAAGGTGCAGGGCTGTCTGGCCACTGTTGGTGGGCAGGTCCACGGGAAACTTGTACTCCTCCACTAAGACCTGCAGACATGCAAGCTGGCCACTCTGGGCTGCAAAGTGGATGGCAGTGAAACCCTGTGGGGGCCAGAGGAAGGCAGGAAGAGGCTGAGCAGGGCTGGGGCCCCAGGAGCCACAACCTAATCTAGATAGGAGGGTGTTTTGTGTGTGTGTATGGTTTTCCTTCCCCCTCTTCCCTGTGTCCCCACGTAGGTGCTTACCCCTCCTCTCTGCTCCCAAATGGCCCTCCCCCAGTCAGAAGGTAAATTGAGATGATCTACACAGAGAAAGACATCTCTGGATGGTCCATAGTCAGCCCTTCGCCAGATAGCCACTACTTGAGGAGCTCTTGGTCAGGTGGAGAGGACTTGAGTTCTTGTTCCTGCACTCCAGGGCCTACCTTGTCATCAGCAGCGATTTTCCCATGGTCCTGGTTCAGACAGAACTGTAACCATTCTAGGTTGCCCAGCGCGGCCGCGAACAACTGGTAGCTGCCAATCGCCCCCTGGTTCCACTCATCCACCCGTCTAGAGTCAGCGCGGAGATTGTGGGAAGTGGGGGGGAGCAAGTAAGGCGGCAGGTCAGAGCTGGGTGACCCTGCGGAGGGGCACCCCCGTGGCCGAGCCGTGCTTGCGCGCCAGCGTTTATGCAGAGCAGGTCGAGCTGGCTAGTCCGCAGGGCAATGAGGAAGGATACAGTCAAGGGTCCCCGACGCCAGAGGAGGCGGTCCCAGCTCTCGGGGCTTCTCGGGCCACACGACACCCGGCCCGCTCCAGGTTGGCCCCTCCCAGGGAGGCGCTGAGCGGGATTCCCGCTCCCTGCAGCCCGGCCCCCTAATCCCAGCCCCACCTGGGCTTCCAGGGCTCCACGTTACTGCACGTGAACTTTAAGGAGACTTTCTCCGCCGGCCTCATGGAGACATGCTGTTGGCGGGGCTTGCTTCCCTTCACTCCCCCTCCTTCGGCCACAACCGCTCAGGCAGGGTCCCGTCTGCGCGGCCCGCGAGCGGCGGCTGGAACTCGCCCTCCGCCCGGACCGCCGCTTCCCGGTCTTGGTAACCGACTGCGCCACTTGCGCGCCTCCGGGGGCCCTGCCGCTGCTAGCACCGCCGCGCCGGCAGGCGCATCCTGGAAACTCAGCATCAACCACACAGAACAAACCGAAAGACACTTAGCTTTTGTTTCTGACTGTGAAATTAAATTATGAAAATTTGGTTCCGATTGTAAAACAAACAAAAAACCAGGAAAGGACAGCGTGGAAATTAAAAACCACAATCCCATCACCCACAGAAATCACGGTCTGTTACTTATGTACATACATACCGTTAGACAATTTTGTACCTCCTTCAAGTTAGCGTTCTTTTACGAGCTAGCTTCCATTGTCATTCCGAGCACTAACGTCCATTGTGACGCCGCCGGACCCCAACATCAGTGTTTGCGCTGTCATTCCACATGTGCTGCAGTAAAGAAAACGGGTCATCTCCGGTTCTTAGGATGGATTCCTGGAAGTTGAATTACTAGGTAAAAGGGAATGAACAGTTTAAAACTGTTGATAGTGTTTCCAAACTTCCTGCCTGCAAGACTTCAGATTCACGTCCACTTCCACGACTGGAGTGAAGTCACTGCACTGCGTGGCAGCCCTGTGACTTGGGGGAGGTTACTTGATCTCTGCGTCTTAGTTTCTGCATTAGCAAAATGAGGATATTACTCTCTACTTCACAAGGAGGGAAGGGTTGTAATCTGTGAGGCCAGGTGCAGAGCAAGCACTATCTATCAATCTGTTTTAAAGGAAGAGCTATTTGAACCATCACTAGCACTGGGTATTATGATTTTAAATAAATGTTTGCAAATCTGGTAGTGGAACTGGAGTTCTAGCTTGACTCTGGTTACTAGCCAAAGCTAAGCAATTACCGATGTTTCTGTTTGGAAATCTTGTTTATTAACATTGTACTTTGAGGGTCTTAATGTGTTTGTTACTGGTTTTTAAAACTTATTAACATATATTGTATTTTCCTCAGTTTGTCTTTTTAACTTTTTACAATATACAGTAGCCAGGCAATCAATGTTGCTCAAATCAGTGTTGTTACTGAACCAGCCACATTATACTCCTTTTTGTGGGGGAACAACCCCAAGCTTATCAGAAGGGTACTGAGACCCCAGGGTCTGACCACGCTGCCCACTTCCAACCACCTTCTTCCCTCTGCATCCCAACATTCCGGGTGTCTTGCCAATGGGTTTCAGCTCTGGCAAGTTCACTATGGATTCAATGTGACCAAAGAAATGACAGTAGAACGTTCTTGGGGTGAAAGGGTTATACCCAACTTTATTTCCACGGTGGTAGGTCAGTCACTAAAATCCCATCCACTCAGAGCAAGTCTGCACGCAGCAAGCCAGTCTCTGCCTCTGGGCCTCTCTACCCACACAGCCATCCTCTGGGCCCTTTGTCCTTGGTGCTGTCACCACTCCAGCCTCTGCTCTGCTCTCCTGCAGCCTTGCAGCTGTACCACTGTGTTGAGCAGAGCACTGGGCAGGGCTCTTTAAATAGAATCAATAATTATGTATTGCCCACACATGCGTAGTGAGCTAGCCAACCAGGGCTAGTGAGAATCCTGGCCACAGGAGCCTTCATTCTATCCACACCAGGTATTTTCCCTGTGGAAATCTAAGATGGAAGGGGAGGGTCTCTTAAGACTTCAGTGACCTGCAAGAAGGGACAAAAATTCAGATTGTTCACCCAAAAGCATCTTTCCCCCTTCCCAGGAAAACCTCCTCTGGTAACCCACTTGTCTCCCAACCCCAGTGGGCAGGAGTCAACCCCCTTCCCAAGCCTTGGCAACTGGCTTCAAATTAAGGTACAGTCACAGTGTTTTGCAGGGACAAAGTTTGAGAATTTCCTGGCATCTAGGGGATTCTATGGGGTGTTGCTTGTGGGGTATTAGGATCCTAACAATAACAAGGCCCTATGTGTGTATTGGGGCTAGGGGGTGTGTCTCAGGACCTCTTCAAGTTCACGCTCATTATCTTCACCTGGGGTATCTTGCAGTCTCTATGCCAGTGGTTGCAGCACTGGCTGTACTTTAGAATCACCTGGGGAAAAAAAAAATGTAGGGACTTAGGGCTCCATCTTCAGATTAGTTGATCTGGTTTGGAGCCTGTGGATAAAGTGAAGAGGTTCCTAAGGCCAGGATCCTCACCTGAACCTAAATTACTTGATGATATAACTGGCCTGCTGCTAAGCTACTGCTTCCACACCCACAGGCAATAAGCTATTATTGACTGAGTCACTATATAAAGAGCTCTGCCCAGTGCTCTGGGTGGAGGCAGGGACAAAGGAGGATTACAGACCTGCAGACTGTTGGATGCAGATGTAGTTCTAGTGCTCCACCAACCAGAGAACAAGCCAGGAAATAAACCCTTTCACCCCAGGAACATTCCATTGTCATTCCTCAGTCTCACTGAATGCATAGCGAATTTGCCAGGGCTGAAACCTATTGGCAAGACAGAGCCCAAGCACTGGTATTTTGTGAAGTTCTATAAATGATTCTCCTGTGCAGCCAGGGTTGAGAACTACCCAACAGATTGAGGCATTCCTGCCTCAGTCCTCTTCCCAGGCAGGCATGAGGCTCTTGGTGATTCTGAAGAAGGAAGATCACTAGAGCGAGGCAGGAGGAGACGGGGACAGACAGAGTCCTTGCAAGGAGAGGATGCCCCCAACTTCTTGGCCAGAGCCAGAGCTGGGCAGCTGGGCAGGCAGACAGTGCCTGATGTAACAAGAGCCAGACCAAGAGAAAGAATTGATTTTCTCTCTGGAAGGGGATAAGGGTATGGCTCCCAGACAACCGGTTTCTATAGCCCCAGGTAAGGGAGATGGAAGGCTGAGAAAGAAGGTGCACCGGAGAGAGGCGGAGGCAGGACCTCAGAGCCTGCTGCCCTCCCGCTCCCACTCCTCCTCCCTGTCTAACCACTTCAGGATCCTTTTGAAGTTAAGCTATTTTAGGTTGTGTTTCTGTCACTTTCAACTGGGGTCTGAATATTAAAAATCTCCCTCCATAGGAGCAAACAGTTGAGACCAGTGGGGTGGTCTCTGAAAAGAGTTGTGTGTGCCAAGCCCTGGGAAGCTCGAGAGGACTTTGGTACCTGTCCCTGAGCTGTCCTCCCAGGGGTGGTGGGTGTGCGCCCCTCGGAAATGGCCAGGAAGCAAAACTAAAGAATCATGCTTCAAGGGCTTAATTTGTTTGACCAGTTTGTTTGAGTAGGGGCCCACCCTTTGGTGGACTAGGGCCTGGGGGGGTGGTGAGACTGACATTTGCACTGTGGTCTGGCAGAGTGCTGTGGTACCAGGACAGAGGATCTTGGCTGCAAGCAGCCGAAGTCCTCTAATGGCAGGTCAGGGTCCTGGCTATGGAGTTTTAGAGTAGGAAGCTTGACTGCTTAAGTCAGCACTCTGGGGTATCCATTTGGAGTCAGTGGCAGTGGGGAGAAGAATAATGCTACCGTAACAGGATAAACACTCCCACCCGTGGGAAGAGAGAAGCTTGAAAGATAGGTCCTGACAGGAGGGAGAGGGAATGCCTGTCTCTGGGGACCAGATTTGTTGAAGGACAGGTATCTGGGTGCCTGTGGGGAAAATGGAAGTTCCTATGGCCAGGATCCTCACCTGACCCTAAACTATTTGATGATGTAACTGGCCTACTGCTAGGCTAATGCTTCCATACCCATTGGCAATGAGCTATTATCCCCGAGTCACTATATAAAGACTCCCCACAGTGCTCTGGGAGGAGGCAGAGACCGAGGTAAAATACTGACCTGCAGACTGCTGGATGCAGACGTGATTCTAGTGCTTGACCTACTGCCGGGAGAAAACCCAGGTATAAACCCTTTAACCCCAAGAACATTCCATAGTCATTTCTCGGTCTCAGCAACTCCATAGTGAACTTGCCCTGGAATGAAACCCTCAGGCAAGACAGTGCCTATTACATTGTTGGGGTGGGGATGGAGTCTGCTAGGAGAGGAACCCCAGAGAACAAGTCATATTTCTTACACCAGGTTTCCAAGTTGTATGCCCATTTTCCCATATTTCTCCCCACTACTCCCAGTGAATGTGCCAAGACTGAATGAGTCCCTTTCTTCAAACTCAGAGCAGCTCCAAAGGATCAGCAGAACCCTAGCTGGGCTGGAATCTTCTCCCTCTGCCATGTGTCTCACAGTTTGGCAGCACCATGAGGCTCTCAGTTCCAGGGAGATGATCTATCAGACAAGCATCTGAGTATCATGCTTAATTCAGATGATCCCAGAATGGATGAAAAATGAATTCCCGTGTCTGTTGCGCTGCTGAGATCTACAGTAAGTTTGTCTTACATTCCCATTCCCAACTTCCACTTCTGGAATGGTAGCATGAGGAGCTTTGTGGACCCACTCTCCAGGGAACAACCATAACTGGTAAAAATTATTTACAAACCAACTGTTAGAGTCTCTGAAGATTTCCCTATGGGTATACAGGAAGTAAACATTTATTCAAGAAAATCTTCTAAATCTCAGTAAGGATAGTGAGTCTATGGCACTTAAGCCACAACCTGCTCCCTCTCTCCCTTGGCCCCATCTCAGAGCAATGACTGAATTCTGATCCAGGTGGGTGTGGCCAAGAAAATGGGGTTGCCTTTCCTTTCTTCCCCAGTGGAGAGAGATGGTATCTCACTCAGAGGGGCAGGTTCAAGCACCTTTCACCATTGCTTCCCCCTCAGAACAAGTTATAGATGCTAAATTCCTGGTGAGTACAGCCAAGGGATTGGCACTTACTTCATCCACCCAGCCCCACCGTCAGTCTGAGGCTTGACTCGAGGCATGGCAGGCTGAGAGTGTTGGGGCCCTGGTCACCCTGTCCCAGCTTATTTGTTCATGGGGCAGAGGTTGCATATTAGAGGCAAACTGAGGACCAGAGGCTCCCAACCCTGCTCAGACCCTGCTCATCTGGCAGGATGTCACTTGGAGAGATGTGAGCAACTGTCCCTATGCTCAGTTCCGCATCGGAGACTTAGAGAATATGCCCTGTCATCCATAAGAGCAGAGGACTCCAAAACTCTCCCCAAAGGAACTGACTTTATTTGAAACCATGTAGGGACATTCAAGTTTAAAAGTACTCTGCAAACAATGGTGATTTTGGTGGTAAGCAATTAAAACCAGCAAGCTAAACTGTAGGCTGGCTGATTTACCTGGAAGGACCAGGGGACAGCTGGTTATAAAGGCCCTCCTAGGTCAGAACAAACCTCAAAGATTGGTTTCAAAAACTACCTTCACATAGTAGTCCAAGTTTAATTGGAGAGACCCTGGAGTGATTTATGCTCTAGAGCACTGTTGAAAACAGAACAGTAAACTTTTAGGCAATTAATGAAGCCTAAAAGCTGGATAAGATACCAGCAGAGGCAGACAGTTGAACAGATCAGGGAAAGAGAGTCCAAGAGTGTCTTGCTAAAACTACTGTCATCCCAGAGTGGCTGTGCACAGGTCCAGGGCTGCATCCTCTAAGCAATTATATCAGAGGCTTCACATTGAGGGGAAAAATATTTCACTAAAATGGCCCATCCAAGTCACTACACAAGTAAACAAGCAAACAAACCCTGGAGAAGGGGGTGGGGAAATCAGTATCCACAGTTGTTACAGTGTTTTACTTAAAAAGTCCAGTTTCCAGCAACAACAAATATGAGATGTACAACCATCTTATATTCAGCAAAGCTGTCTTGAAAAATGAAGATGCAGACATTGCCTGACAAACAAAAAATGAATTTGTAGCTCTGCCTTATAAGAATTACTAATTGAGATTCTTCAGGCTAAAAGCCAGTGATCCTATGCCATAATCTGAATCCTTGCAAAACAAAAACACAACAAAACCCAAAGAGCACTGGCAAAAGGTAATTACACAACTATAAAAGACAATGAATGTCTATTCTTTCTTAACTAATTTTAAAAGAAATTGTATAAAACAGCAGGCATGTCATTGTATCATTGGGCCTATAACATAGAAAAGTATATTTGACAATAACAACACAAAGAAAGGAGGTAGGTGGGAGAAAGCTGTATTAGAATAAGGAAATAACACCAGATGGTAACTTGAATCCACAAGAACAATTGAAGAGAGTCAGAAATGGTAAATTAAAAGATTAATATGACAAAATCTATAAATATGTACTTGTTCTCCTCAGCTTCTTTAAAGGACATATATAAAATAATGTAATTATTGAAAATTTTACAGTGCATTGTTGCATATGTAACATACACAGCTGTAATATGTATAATGTGGAAGAGAGTAGAGAGAATATAGGAATGTTTCAGTATCTCCCTGGGATTAAGCTAGTATAAATCTGAAATAGATTCTGCTCAGGTAAAATGTATATGATAAGCCCCAGAGGAACCACTACGAAAAAATAACTCAAAAAATGAGTGAAAAACATCATTTAAGGAACTACAATGTTACACTACAACAGATTCACTTAATGCAAAAGACAGCATTAAAGGAGGAAGAGCAGAACAAAGACATGACACATACAGAACATTACAAGTAGAATGGCAGATATAACACCCCTACTGTGTTAATGATAACCTTCAACGTGAATGAATTTGACAATCCAATCCAAAAAGCAGAGCTGGTAAAACTGGTTTAAGATTAAATTCCAACTACATATTGTCTTCAGGAGATATAATTTAGATTCAAAGATACAAATAGATTGAAAGTAAAAGGATAGGAAAAGATATATTTTGCAAACAGCAACTGTAAGAAAGTGAGGTGGTTATACTAATATCAGGCAAAATAGGCTGTTACTAGGGCTAAAAAGGGACATTTTGTAATGATAACAGGGTCAATTCATCCGAAAGACATAGTAATTATAAACAGATATGCATGACCACATGTCCATACACTGATGAATGGATAAATGAAAGGTGGTATATCCATGCTGTGGAATATTATTTGGCAATAAAAAGAACTGAAGTACTGATCTATGCTACAGCATGGATGAACCTTGAAAACATTATGCTAAGTGAGAGAAGCCCATCACAAAAGACCACATGTCATATGATTCCATTTATAACGAAATGTCCAGAACAGACAAAGCTCTAGAAATGAAAGTAGCTTAATGCTTGCCTGGGGAATGCTGGCTGGGGAAGGCGCAGAAGAGGAGGTTGAGGGGTCATGGCTAGTGATGCAAGGTTTCTTTTCGAGGTAATGAAAATGTTCTAAAATTGACTCTTGTGATGGTTGTACAATTCAAGAATATACTAAAAGTTGAATTGTATAAATAGGTAAATTGTATGGTATGTGAATTCTATCTCAATAAAGCTGTTATTAAATAAAAAACCACCCTATACCCTGTGGAGACCCAAAAGCTTTCCCCCAGATATATTTTAATTGTCCTGGGGATGGGAATTTTATTCTCGGGGCCCCTTTGGCATCAGCTCTTGATCCAAAACCTCCTGACCCAGAAGTGGATCTCAGCCCTTTGCTGAAGATCCATCCTCCCGACCTCCTCCCTCTTAGGAAATAGTCATCCCTTCACTGTAGACGGGGCACAGAGGACAGCAGGGGCTGACATTACAGAAGAGAAGGCAGCTCTCAAAGCAATTTCAGGGATCCTGGTTTTTAGGATGCTCTCCACTCACTTCTTAGCTGGGGGACCTTTTCCCAGCCTCCTGCATCCGCTACATGCCTCAAGCTAGCTCCCCAGCAACTTCCCTCCCTCCCTCTCAGAAGCAACCAAAATTCCTCCCTAACATCTCTAGGCAGAGCTGTTTAGAGTCAGACAGATCTTTTGTGGCTTTTATTGTCCTTTCCATAATCACTGAGCTCATGTTCCAACCAAGAAATTTACCAAGATATTTCTTAACAAAGATAAATCTCCTTAGGAGGAATTCTGTTTTCGCCGCTAAGACACTAATGTGCCTTTCTTACTTTTTAAGTAGATAGTTTAATGAACCTCATTTACCTATCATGATCAGCTCCAACGATTATCCATGTTTTGCCAATCTCGTTTTCATATAAGATAAATTCATCTCAGTTACTTCTTATTTTGGGGGCTTTAAAAAATGAAACACACTGTTTTTCCCCAGTGTGGGGCATCCAGGGAAAGGGGTGGCGCGTGAGAGCCCCGCATAGCCGGCAGGGAGCTGGGGGTGGGCATGGGAGCAGCAGGCTCAGGTGCGTGGGACCAGGGCGAATGCGGAGCGGTGCGTCGACCCGGGCGCCCAGGGCAGCGGTCCCAAGACCGGCTTCCGGCCAGGCTGCGGGCGGCTAGAGCTCGGTGCCGGGTTCGGGGTCCTGCGGCGCCCCCTCGCGGGAGTAGAACTCATCGATCACGCTCTGCGGGATGCGCTTCAGCATCTCCTTGGGGAAGATACGCAACAGCTTCCAGCCTAGGTCCAAGGACTCAAACACGGAGCGGTTCTCGTAGGGGCCTAGGGACAGAACAGGAGTGTTAGAGGTGTGCGTGCGTGTGTGTGCGTGCGTGTCGGCGTAGGGGAGTTACGGGCCTCACCCTGGCTGACGAAGTTCTTCTCGAACTTCTGCAGGAATTCCAGGTACAGCAGGTCCTCAGAAGTGAGGGCCTCCTCCCCCACTACTGCCTTCATGGCCTGCACGTCCTTTCCGATGGCGTAGCAGGCGTACTGGGTGGAGAGGGTCGGGGGTTGGCAGTCAGGCCGGCTTATCATGGAGCCCAGTGGCCCCCAATCTGCTGTGCGAGGGGGAGGGATTTTGCCAGGAAAAAAGCTCGTGGTCCTCTTAGGGCTCAGACTTCCAGCTTGTGAAATTAGCCTCCCCCGGCACCCCCTGGGCGCTCCTTCTCACCAGCTGGCTGGAGACATCTCCGTGGTCCTTTCTTGTCATGCCCGCCCCAATGGCCGATTTCATCAACCGAGACAGGGAGGGGAGCACATTGATGGGGGGGTAGATCTGGGGAGCAGAAGGGGGGAGTGGCGGGGAAAGTCCAGCTTTCCTTCCCTCCCCTACTTGTCTCCCCTTCCCCTTGGGATCCTCATTCATCCTATGGAGAGGTGGGCTGGTCACACCCTGCCCTCTTTTTTTCTTTCTTGTTTTTATTTTCCCGAAGCAGATGCCTGTGCAATTAAAGGCAACACAACAAGGCCAGACCCCCTGCCCTCCTTTGTCTCCCAAATCTTAGGACTTGGCTATGCAGTATTCTGTGTCTGTGCTCCTAGACAGGAGAGGGCAGGCGGGAGAGGACATGACCTTAGTGAAAGGCTCACTGTTCTAAAACTTTTGATTATTTGGACAAAAACCAGGTTGACATTTCATAGTTACAGGCTGCACATCTTTCTACGATGATGGACAGAGACTGCAATGGGGTGTTGGGGGGCGCTTGATAATATGGATGAATGTTGAAACCACATGTTGCTCATGTGAAACCTTCATAAGATTGTATATCAATGATACCTTAATTTAAAAAAATAGTTACACTCCCGTTTTGAGAGAACTCTTCTGCATCCGTGGATGTTTTGTTGCCCTTGTCTAGCTTGGATTAATACTTAGTCTATAGGCACACACCTGATCATCTACATTTGCCCTCTTACAGCACTAAACTATGTTTTCTACCTTTATCTTGCATCTCCCTACCACTTCAGCATTTTATTAAAAATAATAATAATAATAAGTGAGAAATGTGGGATTCACATAAAAATCAAGTATAAAAATCAAACAAATATTCATATTTGACCTGATTGTTTATAGTTCATAATGCGTGATCAAAACCAAAAGTTTCTGTGATGACTGCCCTTGCACTGTTCACCATGTAAGAACTTATTCACTATGTAAGAATTTGTTCACCATGTAAGAACTTGTTTGTTATGCTTCAGAAGACTGGAAACTGTTGAGAACTAGGCTTGGGGTTGATTAATGATTGTGCATTGAGTCCCCTATACAGAATTTTATTGTTGTTAACAACCATTTGATCAATAAATATGAGAGATGCACTCTCAAAAAAAAAAAAAAAGTTACAGAAAGGACCTGCCAAGCAAAGAGGAAAAAGTCATAGGAGCTGCCTTTAACCTCAGAGGGACAAACACATTTTCTAACTCGTTGGCACATTATTCACCATCTGCTGTGTCTGTAACCCATTGTTTTTGTTCACCAAAGCAAATTACTGGAAAGGAAAGAGAAATGGTATTTATTTGGTATCTACTGTCTGCTTGATGTTTCTTTATGCCAACTTATTTGATCTTTCACAATGCACTTATATAAGTATTATTGTTCCCATTTTATACATGAAGAACCCTAGGATCAGAGAGAGGAAGTTATTTTCTCAAGGTCCCACAGCCAGGTAGGCTGGATTCTACCCAGACCTATCTTCTGTCTGTGAACAGTCTTCCTGGGGCATTATCTTCTGTTTGGGGTCAGCCTTGCGTGGCCCTAACTCAGGGAGAGATGAAGTCCAGGGGGTGGTGGGACGTTTGTTAGTCAGGGCCTGTGGGGTGCTGGGGAGAGCAGGAAGTGGGTAGGGAGGGGAGAGTACCTGTCTGTTATGAAGTTGTCTGTCCACGTAGATCTGTCCTTCTGTGATGAAACCTGTCAGGTCTGGGATCGGGTGGGTGATATCTACAAGGAAATTTGCTAGTCTCAGTGTAGACTGGGCCCAGGTCCCCACCCACCCAGGGCTTTGTGGGTTCCCTCCCCTCGTGGGAGTGATGGGGGTGTGTGATGGCAAGGAAAGGACAATGTTTGCCCTGATTGAAGAGCACAGCTACCACCCATCTATGCAGAGAAGGCATGGGCCCTTTAGTGTCTGGGTGGGAAGGTGGCAGGGGGCTTCCGGTGTAGTGCGCAGTGAGGGGGCTCACCATCATTGGGCATAGTGAGGATTGGGATCTGGGTGATGGATCCACCCCGGCCCTCCACGCGGCCTGCCCGCTCGTAGATGGTGGCCAGGTCTGTGTACATGTACCCAGGGAAGCCGCGGCGCCCAGGCACCTCCTCTCTGGCAGCTGAGACCTGCAATGCCCGTGGGCATTGGGATAAGGATCTGATTCAGGGAGAGTGGGAGGTTCAGTGACCTTAAGAAATGGAATGGGGGCAGACCTGGGTGGGTGAGCTTGGGGTGCAGGGACTAGGGAGAGGTAAGAGGAACCCCTTGCCAGCCACCTCACCTCCCGCAAGGCCTCTGCATAGGAGCTCATGTCAGTCAGTATGACCAGCACGTGCTTCTCACACTGGTAGGCAAGAAATTCAGCAGTGGTCAGTGCCAGACGAGGGGTGATGATCCGCTCAATCCTAGAGGTATGGGCAATGTTTAGAGAACCTAGAGGCCTAGATCTGTGCTCCATTTAGCCCCAGTGCTGATTGGAAAGTGAACTAGGAGGCTGTTACTGTGCACAGCAGCAGAGCAGTGGGTGAGATGAGCCCCAGCCCCCAGCCCCCAGGTTGGGGCTCTGGTTCCTGGAGTGAGGACTCAGCCAAGCCCCAAGCTCCCCCATTCCTGCTGTGCATGGTAGGAAAGGGCACAGACACTGGGCAGCTGGCAGGGGTGTCGGGTGAGGATGACAATGGCCTTGAGCCCATGCCCAGAGTGCCCCAGCACTTGGGTCTGCTGGAGCACCTGCTCCATGTCCTCACCGTCCCTCTCACCGCTGCAGAGTGCGTTGAGTGCACACATTCTGGAATGCTTGCCTGCCCTGGCAGCCCCTTTCCACTCTGAGCTCTCCTGAGTCTATTTCTTGGGCTCAGGCACTCTTAATCCTTGGGCTCTGTGCCTATGGGTCTCCAGTGATGTCATCTTGGCCTCCAGAAATCTGTCACTTAGTTTTTGGAGCACTTCAGTACCCAGGACAGTTTAGTAGAATCTTTCTCATCCACTTGACCCACAGATTTAAACTCACATTTTCTGAATGTTTAAAATAGCAGTTTTTTAAACAAATGGTTTAGGAAAACACCTCTTTAGTGATGACTTTATGGAAGTGACTCAGGATGAGGAGCCCTGACTTGGGACAATGGCTGGACACAGGCTGTGGGAAGAGTGGAGGGGCTGCAGGCAGCAGTGGGGTCTGGCTCCCTGTCTCTCTGGGGCTATCCCTGCCCCTCACCTAGCCTGTTTCCCCAATTCCACATCAAGGGGCTGCTCGCCCAGCTCAGGCACACAGCTGTAGTTCTGGGATGCCTCTGAGTCCTGTCTAGGAAGGGGATGGCACCTGCTGGCTGAGGGCAGTGTGGGCACCAGGGGAGGCTCACGTCGGGTCGTTGGCCAAGTTCAGGAAGAGGCAGACATTCCCCATGGTGCCATTCTGCTCAAAGTCAGACTTGAAGAATCTGGCTGTCTCCATGTTCACCTGGACACACAGCAGGGAGGGTTGGAGGCAGGGCCCTGTGGTCTGAAGGCAGGGGCCCTGGCCCCTCCCATCTCTTCTCAATAGAGGTGTTGACTGGCTTGCTAGCAGTCACTGGGGGTGAAGGCACCACGGTCGGTGGGCTGACCGGGGCTTGAGGGGGCAGGGGTTGGGTTTGCTGCCCAGTCCTGGGCAGGGCTCATCAGACCCCCAAAGACGGGTTCAGACTTCTTCAGGTTGAGCTCTGCTCAGTGGCATCACCACCCCTCACTCGGCCAGCTGCTTTCTTCTAAACTCACTGTCCCTCCTTGGCCCCTCTAGGGCCCTTGGTATCTGCTTCCCAGACCTGTCTTGTCTTCGCAGTTTCTGGGTTTCCCTGTCCTCCAGGCCCTGGGCTCATCTTAGAGCTGCCATGGCCTTTGGGGTGCCTGGGGAGACACAGTCCCCTAGTCACTGAGCCCACTGCCTCCAGTCATGCTCTTGCCCCTTCCACCAGACAGGCCTGGACTCTGAGAGCTTCCTGAGAAGTATTATACCTCCCCCATCAGATCAGGCAGTGCCAGGGGCCGAGGGAGGCAAGGCTGCCTGCCCACAGCTTCCAGAACTTGCCAGCTGCCTCGCCCCTCTTACCCCCATGGCTGCAAAGACAATGGCGAAGTTGTCATCGTGGTAATCCAGCACCGCCTTGGACTTCCTCACCAGCCCAGCCTGACGGCAGATCTGGGCAGCAATCTGGGGTGGAGCAGGTTGAAAGAAGAATGTCAGAACCAGAGTCCATAACCCACCCCACTGAGTACCATTGAGGATGGATGGGACGATTTCCTGGCCATCCTCCTGCCGAGGCCTTTGGTGGGAGGGATCCAAGCCCTCAAAGGTGACAGGGCTGCCCCAGGTCCCACAAGTGTTCTCAGGGGAGGTGCTTCCCTATTCTGTGGCTCCGAAGGACTGAGGGTGCCTGTCAGGGGCAGGGTAGAGTCACAGTTCCAAAGAGCAACTGCCTTGGCAAGGGTTTGGAGCATCTTGGCCCTTTAGAACTGCCTGAGCCTGCTGCTGCGCGGCACAGGAGGCCCTCCTCGCTGGTCCGCCAGCCCTGGCGTCTGCTCTGTCCCTTCCCCTTGGTTGTGCCTGCAGGATCCGCAGTTCTCACCTCGTTGTGGGGGAGCCCAGCCGCTGAGAAGATGGGGATCTTCTGACCACGGGCAATGCTGTTCATGACATCGATGGGAGAGAGGCCAGTCTGAATCATCTCCTCAGGGTAGATGCGCGTGTGTGGGTTGATGGGCTGGCCTGGGAGAGAGCAATCATGGACCCACAATCAAGGGGCCAAATCCTTCCCTGCCCTCCCCCAGCTCAGCCCCAGACCCCAAAGCAGAAGTGTTTACAGAATTTTCTGCTATGATGGAAATGTACTGTAACCACCAAGAAGGTAGCCCCAGCCACATGAAGCTATTAAGTACGTTAAGTGTGGTTTTGAAATGAAGTTTTATTCCATTTAAATCAATCTGTATTTAAACAGCCACCAGCCTGGGGCTCCCTTGGACTCTGCTGCTGTGGTGCATTCGAAGCAGCAGGCAGGTGGGGGCTCGGGCTGAGGCCCTCCTTGAGACCTCCAAGTGCTGTGTAGGGCTCAGAGCACCTCAGGATGACTCGAAACCTCCTGTCTGAGGGGCTGAGTGTCCCCGACTTGCTGTGAGGCCTTGGGCCTGGAACCTCTGCAAGCTGCTGTCACAGTCTCAGAACTGATGTGATACGGTTGGAGGGCTCAGGACAGCTTCCTTCCTGAGAGGGCCTGTCCTGGGTCTGCTCCCGCAAGCCACTCCAGCCAGCTCTTGGTGGGGGACGGGGAACTGGCCGGCAGGAGGGTGATGGTCCTGGGGCACACATGGAACTTGCACATCGATGATGGCATTTTACAGGAGCTGGAACTGAAGTGCTGGTGGCAGTATTTCAGGCTCTGGGGTGGATTTGGGGACAGGAGGCCTTTGCAGCTCTGATCTGCCTGTTAGTCTGACCGTCCCTGGGGCTGAGCCCTGGGCGATTGCCTCTGTCCTCTGCCCGTAGCAGAACGTCCAAGGCGGCAGAGGCCGTGACTAGGGGAGGGGAAGGTGGTTGGGGGTGGGGTCCCCAAAGCTGTCAGGAGCCTCTGGTCACTCACCGTTGATATCCAGGAAGTCCTCCGCCATGACCACTGGCCCCTTGTCGATGGGTTTGCCGGAGCCATTGAAAACCCGCCCTGGAGTGGGTGAGGAGTGTTGCGGGTGCTCAGGGCCACCCTGGGTCTCTCACTGCTGCTCACCCGCCACACCGTCACCCGTTCCCACCCGGCCCTCACATCCCAACTGCCCCATGCCCTCCTCCCTTCAGCCCTCAGTTACTCCAAGAGCTGGCTACAGTGACTGTCCCCTTGGGGGTCTTCCCTACTCTCCTGGAAGCCTTTATGGCAAGGCCTCCACCCAGGACAGTGACTCTAATGGGGTTTTTAGGGCTGGAAAAAGGAGAGAGCCAGGTATGGCAGATCTTGGGAGAAAATTAGGGATGTGCAGTCTGTTTCAGCCTGACCCCAAAGAGATGGCTACCTCTCATGCCTTTAGTTCATGGGGCCTGCCTTCCTTACACCTGCTGTATGTCAGACCCTGAGCTGGGGTTGGGGGCCAAAGAGAAAAGCCACAACCTCTGACCTCAAAGAGCTCCCAGGGGAGGCAGACCTGTAAAGAGGCAATGACAGCACAGCAAGCTAAGCACTTGGTCAGGGAGGCTGGGTTGGGAGGACAGACAAGCACCCCACCCCTCACCCAGCATGTCCTCTGACACTGGAGTCCGTAGGATGTCCCCTGTGAATTCACAGGTGGTCTTCTGGGCATCAATCCCAGAGGTCCCTTCAAACACCTGTGGGACAAGAGTTTAGTTACTCTAGTAAGGGGCTTGCTGGGGAGAATGGGGCCTCCCATTCTAGGTTCCTTTCATGCCCAGCTCTGGGCAATGTGCTCTGGGGAAAAGTGGACATGGCTGCCTTCAGAGCTTTTAATGTGGGAACTTTGTGGGTTCATTCAGTTATTCAACTAGCCAGCGCCTCATCGACACCACTTACCTGGACAACTGCCTTGGTCCCAGCCACCTCGAGCACCTGGCCACTCCTCTGAGTCCCGTCGGGGAGGGTGAAGTTAACGATCTCAGCATACTGGGCGAACTGACAGGAGGAGAGCAGTCCAGGGCGACAGTGAGACCAGGGGCAAAGCCCCTGTCTCCTCCCATCCTTCCCGGACCAGTCTCAAGCTTCTTTCTTCCTTCTTGGGCCCAGACACTCTTGGAAATGAGCTTGAGGGGTTGGTACATGGGAAGTTTGAATTGTTTGGGAGGCAGTATACCTGGATTCGTGGGAGTGCCAATTTTATTGCTGGAAGACCAGGGTTAGAATTGAAGTTACTTAACGTCTCTGAGCCTTACTTTGCTCCTCTTTAAAATGGGAATAGTAATGCCTACTTCACAGTGCTGCTGTGACGAGAAAACGACACTCATAAAGTCATTGGCTGGTACCTGGGACCTTGTGACAGCTCAGTGAAATAGAGTAGCTGTTATGGGTGTTTAGGTTTCTTGGATGGCACAGTTGTTTCTATCTCTGTGAATTAATAGTAAGCACAATGGCAAAGAGCTCTCCTTGGCTCCCAGATGTCCCCTTGTACCAGTGGTAGTCTTTTGCTAGCCACAGGGCTGGGGTTAATTCGCATGTAGTCCTCACAGTCTTCAGGAATAAAAAGAATTGAATCAGGCAATCACTTCTTTTTTGACTCAGAGTGTAGTACCTATTCTTATCAGTTTAAAAAGAATGAGGCTAGTATCTGGAATATATAAAGGACTCTTGTAATTCAACAGTAAGAAGACAAATAACCTAATTTTTAAAATGGGCGAAGGACCTAAACAGGCATTTCTTTAAAAAAGACACACAAATGGCCCATAAGCACATAAGATGGTCAACACAATTAGTCATTAAAGAAATGCAAATCCAAACCACAATGAGATACCATTCACACTCCCTAATATGGCCATAATCAATAGACAGATAATAACAAGTGTTGTTGAAAGTGTAGATAAATTGGAGCCCTCATATTTTGAAGCCAGACAAAATTTTAGTCACTGTCAGCAGGAATGTAAAATGTGCACCATTTCAGAAGACAGTCTGGCAGTTCCTCAAAAGGTTAAACGCAGAGTTACCATATGACCCAGCAATTCCACTGCCAGGTATACATCCACAAGAAAAGAAAACATACGTCCCCCTAAAAACTTGTATATGAACGTTCATAGCAGCATTATTCGTAATAGCCAGAAAGTGGGAACAACCCAAACATCCACAAACTGATGAAAAGATAAATAAAAGGTGGTGTACTCATGCAAAGGAATATTATTCAGCCTTAAAGAAGAATGAAGTTCTGATACACAGTACAATATGGATGAACCTTGAAGACATATACTAAGTTAAAAAAGCCAGACACAACCAGTCACATATTATGTGATTTCATTGATAAGAAATGTCCAGAATAGTAAAATTCATAAGGACAGAAAGACTAGTGGCTGCTGGGAGGTGGAGGGAGGAAAGATTGAAAGTAACAACTAACAGGCACAGGGTTTCTTTTTGAGTTGTTGAAAATGTTCTGGAATCAAATAGTAGTGATGGTTGCACAACACAAGTCTGTGTATATACTAGGAACCACTGAATTGCACACTTAAAAAGAGTGAAATTTATGGCATGTGAATTATAACTCAATTTAAAAAAAACAATTAAGCTATCCCTCCAGGACCGCAGGCAGCAGGGGGACAGGTGGAAATCTGCCCCAACAGAATCCCCAAAGTAGGTGTCTGTGCTCCAGGAACCAGATTCCCGGTCTTTACCCACATCTAGAGGAGGCTATGTGCTGGGCCAGAGAAGCTAGGCTGGGAGAACTGACCCTCCCACTGGCACTTGTCCTCATTTCTCGCCACTACCAAGAGAGCTACATCATGTACCTGCACCTTCTTCCCAGCAGAGGTACTAGAGACAATGCATAACATCCCCCAGGCTTCCTAACCTTGCTTTCCAGGTGGTTGATTTACATCAGTAATAATCATAATCCAATAAAAATAAATGTAAAAGAGACAACAGCTTTCTCTCCAATGTTCCTAATATTCAGGGAAATTAAAGTACTCCTCTAAGTCACTCCTTGGACACTAGAGGAAATCGAAGCTGAAATAACAGGCAAAATAGAAAAGAATAAAAGGGGTATGACTTCCTGCCATGACCTACAGAACACACCCAGCTGTAGCATGTTTTATGACCATAATCAAAGGAAACAAAAATGCAAAAATCCTAAACAAATATTAGCAAACCGAATCCAGTAAGATATGAAAAAGATCAAGCTACATACAAACCAATTAATAAAAGAAAAAATTGGAAAACAAAAATGATGAAAACACATACAAATAAATATAAAGAAGATCAAGCTGGGATTATTTGGGGAATTCAATGTTAGTCTAATAGTAGAAAACCTATTAGTGTAATATATCTTACTAATGGATTCAAGGATAAAAGGAAGAAGTGATCATGTGATTGTCTCAAGAATTTTTAGAAAAAGCTAAAAAAAACTATCCATGATTAAAAACACAAAAATGAACAAAACTACTCTTTGAAAATACAGAACAGAAGGGAAATTCCTTAACCCCAAAAAGTATCCAAAAAAAACTACAGAAAATATCATATTCAATGAATGGTATAAGGTATAAAAAAATTCTCTTTAAAATTAGGACCAGAACATCAGTGCCTGCTAGCATCGTTCTCCTCAGCACTGCACTGGAGGAACCAGCCAAAGTCATAAAAAGAATAGAAGAACAAAACTGCGAAATGGAAAACTCCCCAAACTCCAATCCAATAATGATAGTAACCCCCACCAGAAAAAAACAACTACAGATCGATTTTTCACGTAAATATAGATGCGGCAATTAGAAATAAACTATTAGCCAGTAAATCTGTGTTATTAAATGTAAAGCTAAAACAGACAAAATACTAGAAAATTTCTTCTTTCCTTTTATGGAATAATCCATTTAAAGACTGGATAAGAGATGTCTTTAAGCAAAGTAAGGAATCTAGGAGTCATAAATGAAAAAATTGAAATATTTAATTACGTGAACATTTGAAATTTCTGTATGGCAAAGATACCATACGCAAATGTGAACACTAAACAAAGAACTCCCACAACTCAAAACATACAACAGGAAGATTTCACAGAGGAAGAAGTGAAATCTAAACTGATAAAAAGATACTCGATGCCCCCCGAGGGTGGGGCTCTTCCCCAAGAGGCAGGCCCTGAGGTCGGCAAGCAGCAAATGCCCAGCCGCCTCTGTCTTCCACCACAAGAGGGAGCCCAAGAGCAAGGACTAGGAGGCATTGGAAAACAAGCTAAAGCCCTCGCTGGGATTCCTCCGTCACTGTGTGCGCCTGTGTCTCTCCATCCAAAACAGCCACTAGCTCTATTGTTCGTCTGCGCAGCTGATGGTGGCCTGCCAACCTCAGGAGGAAAATTTCTGGAAAGTGCACAGGCCACAGTGGACTCCAAAGAAATCAGGCAATGGGCCTAATAAAAACTAGGCAGTAGGGTGATAAAAGGTGATCATTTTAATGTGGGTTTATGTGGGTGAGGGAGGATGGGAGGAAAGGAGAGTGGAGAGAAGGTGGCGCACTGTGTCCCCTAAAGATGGAATCAGAGAAAGTGAACTTTAAATAGCAGAGAGATCACAGTCAGACACAGGAAGAACTGTCTTCACACCCCGGCATGGAAGGTGTAGTCTGGAATCCTTTAGAGAGAGAATAACAAGCTCTGTGTGTGCTTGCATTGGTTATTTATTTGAGAGGAGAGGTGGTCATAGTCAGTCAGAGCAGCAAGTGCAGGGGCAGATTTCCAGCACACAGTAATGAGCTTATACTCAGAGGCACCCCATTTCCCAGACACAACTAGGAAGACTGATTCCCTCAACTCCCACTATTCGCTACTAAGAAGACTGCAGGGTATACGGATGGTTCAGCGTAACCCATCTCCTCTGCTTGAGATTCAACCGAATTCTCAACCAGCGAGGGGTGAGGCAGAAGGGAGCTTGTGTATACACGCACAGAATGGGAAGTTCTCAGCAAGCCTGGGAGGACTTGTACAAGGAGGTGCTGGCCTCTAAGGCCTTTCCTGACAATGTCCAGGGCAGTTTGGAAATTGCTCTTTGGAAACTGTCTTCAGAGCTTATACATACAATTTTGAAAGCTTTTTCCTTTGAATTTGGGGGCAGCCACAGGCACCTGGAACTAACTCTGGTGGATAAGGTGAGTGCTTACTCCAAGCCTCAAATAAGGGTCCGTGTAAGTCAGAGCATTCAAGAGGAGTTGGAAGACCCTCCAGATAGTGGTTCTCCAAGTGTGGTCCCCTTCCCAGCAGGAGCAGCTCCTGGGAACCTATCAGAAATACAAGACTCAGACTGCCAAATCAGAACTTTGGGTTGGGGCCCAAGAATCCCTCCAGGGGATTCTGATGTATATTTAAGTTTTAAAACCACTGCTGTAGTGAAATCTCTCTAGAACATCCCAGGCAGGGGGGATGTCAGATATCCGGACTCCTCTTTAATGTTTGTACAACCTGTGTGTGAGAGTATGATTGTGAGTGTGTGTGTGCTTCTGTGACATCGGGGCTGGGGGAGTGACTGTTTACAGATGTAGGAAGGTCATTTTTACATTCTACACTCAGTGGTTTAATCTCTTCTGGGTCACAGACCTCATTTAATCAGATGAAACAGTGGAAACTACCCTCAGAAAATGCACAGGCACATGAATAAACATCTTCGAAGTTTTGCATAAATTTCAAGGTCCGTATTCCCTGGGCTAAGAACGTCTGATCTACACAAAATATTCCCCCAAATTATTTTCCCATTTGAGGATGGAAGCGGGAAGCTTAATTGCCTGTGTGACTCAATGTGGGCAGAAAGTGGCGCTGTAGAGAAGGAATTGAGGTGTTCATCCAAGCAAAGCTGGAATAGGGAAGATGGTGTGGGACCATGGAGCGGGGTGCATAAAGGTGCCTTTTCCATCTCCTGAACTTATGAGACTATAAACTGCTGATCCCTTTCCTTCCCTCTGCAGGCCCAGGGTTCTCTGGGTGTTTCTCCTACCCAGTTATTCCCTTCTGCAGGAGTTACAGATGCATCCAACAATCACAGAACCATAGATCTGGAGATCTATCTCTAGTTTCCTCATCCAGCCCCATTTTATAGTTGAGAAAATGGATGTCTGTATAGGCTCTGACTCCCCATACCACACTGGGCTCTATACAGACTGACAGGGATGGGAGTGAGTGTGGTTGAGGGGGACAAGGGGGCAGGAGGTGGCACCAGCTGTTTAATCAGCTAGCATTTCTGCCTTACTAGCTGTTCTCGAGAAGGAGTAATAACAATACATTCATCTGACTAGCCTCACAACAACCCTATTATCATTTTATAGATGAAGAAACAGGCAACTATGGCCCTAGATAAATGGGTGCCAAACTTCAGGGAGCATCCAGTCACCTGAAGGGCTTTTAAAAACATACTTCTGGGCCCCACTCCCAGGGTTTATTATCCTGTCCGGCAGTCTGGGGTGGAGTTCCAGAATCTGTCTTTCTAACAAGTTCCCAGGTGGGGCTGGTGCTGCTGATTTAGGATTGACTGGTAGCTGGTAGAAGGGGTGGGATGGAGGTGGGATTGACACTCAAGTCTGAGTCAGACTGCCTGACCCCAGCTTTTCACACGTCCTCCCAGGGTGTCTCCAGCACTAGTGGGTCAAACAGTAATGTCCATATGATCTTGAAATCTGGTTTCCAGAAATGAGTGGTCTGATTTATTTAATATTATTGGCTCAGGTTTTGACAGGTCCATATTTAGTCATGCCAACACTCACTCATTCCTCTCATTCATTTACTTACCACCCTTCCTTTGAACAAACTGAGCATCTGCCATGGGCTGGGTGTTCAGTAACAGGGCAGTGTGGGGCTCTGGGGTAATAAAATGCCATCCATGGCCAATTGGAAGGCACAGTGTGTGGGGTGAAGGGGGCAGGGAGATGACATGTGACTATGTGACAACCACATGCCTTAGTGGATGCTGCCAGCAAGACAGTGCACAGTATGGAGGACAGGCAGAATAGTCTTACCTTGACCTCATCCAGCACCACCAGGGGCCCATTGACGCTGCACACAGTCCTGTAGGCTGGAGGAGTGGAGGTAGGTGAGGGTCTCATACCCAGACACACACACACACACACACACACACACACACAAGCATCCCCTGTCTTCCCTCCCTCTCTGTACCACCCCACCCCCTCCCCAGCCTGGGCCATCAGGGTCATTAGCTGTGACAGGGCCAGCCACCATTGCTGTAAGGGTCATGCCCCTGCCTGCAGGGCCCCCGCAGCCTCAGACACCTGCAAGAGGCTGGGGGAGGGCCAAAGCAAGGGCAGAGGCCCCTTGGAGTCCTGCCCTCCCCTCCCCAGCCATGCAGAGGCCATTCTCATCCTTGAAGCTGCTTCCTCTCCAGCCTCTTTCCCACACCTTCCTCTTTCACCCACATTTTCCAGAAGCTCCTGGCCCCCAGCTAGAGATGAGATGAGAACTGCCCTCTCCTGCTTCTCACCAGGACTACATTTCTCTGTCACCCACACCGACTGAGCATGGGGCAGGGAGAAGTGCAGACATCGGTGAGAAAAACCAGCCAGGGCCCCTGCTCTGCCACAAGCCCCCCCCAGGGAGGTTCCCAGACTCCCTGAGAGCTGGAAGGGGGTGGGGGGAGATCAACAAGGAAGGAGGGAAAAGCCAAATGTCCCAGTTCTAGTGGCAGGAGAGACTCACAAATGCGGAAATGAACTCAGCTTACAGGGAGGGATTGGGTTAGACAACAGGAAATACTTCCTAACTGTAGTGTTGGGGACCCCAAAAGGAGAAGCCATGGGCTGGCAGACAGGGAGCTATTTTGGTTCTGCTCAGGGCTAGCTGAGGGACCCTGCCTCGCCCATAACCCTGGGATACTGTAACTCTTCCCCACGTCCAATAAGACAGCTGAGGTGAAGGGCCTTGTCACGGAGGGATGGCCAGGGGTGTCTGAGGTTGCTGGGAGGACCTCAGAGGGAGAGTTGTCCAACTCCCCTTTCAACAGGCTAGGAGAAGAGGGCTCAGAAGGGTCAAATGCCTGGCCCAAAGTCACCTTGCATGCTTGTGGCAGAGCTGGGGCTGGACCCCACCTTGTCTGCCCATCAGACCACACTGGCTCCCAGCCACTTGCCCTCACGCTTCCAGGCACCTGGCACATAGTCACCCAGACCAAGGGAAAGTAAGTGCCCTAGCTCATGCCCTCCCTGGACTAGGGCTCAGTGGTCAACCCCTGTATTTGTCTGATCTAAGTTCCTTTCACCAGCACTTGGGCCTGGAAGACCACCTGGGAAAGTGATCCTGCGTGGACATTTTCAAGGCTCTCCTGCGTTTAGGCACTGCAGGAAGACAAGAAGAGAGGAACTGCTCGCTCTCAGAGGAAACACCTTGCAAGGACGAGGGCCAATTGAGCTGAGGCTTCAACGTCAAGTGGAGTCATCCAGCCAGCTCCCAGGGGGCTGAACAAAGGGCACAACTGGCAGAGGTGAGGCAGTGCAGAGGAGAGAAGGAACTCAGTGTCTTTGGAGGACGAAGAAGGGCAGCGTGGCTGGTGCACACAGGCTGGCTTCTGCGGTGCCAGAAGTCACCACTTCCACGAGACATGAGAGCGGGGGTGTTCGGAGTGCTCACTGCTGAGTCCCCACCTCTCGGAAGAGTGCCGGGCATACAGTAGACACTCAGCGAATATTTGCTGGGTGAATTATGGAAGGCATTACCTGGCCCCACTTTCCCAGCCTTAAATCAGATGAGAGCCCTGTCACCAGCCCAAGGGCTTGCTCCCTGGCCCCTGCCATCCTGTGAAGAAAGAGGGTGGGGGGCTGAGAAAGAGGAGGCACAGGGCTAAGTGGGGTGGCAGGCATAGGAAGACCCCTGTGCGGAAGGATCAGGCAGAGGCTGGAGCATCGCCCTCCACATCAAGGAGAACAAGAGCCAAGCAGCCACACACTCCCCTCCCACCCGCAGGGCCTGCTGACCAAATTCTCTAGATTGCTAGAACCGTGCAGAGCAGGTGAGCCCCGCAGAGGGAGGGTGGAGAACAGGAGAAAAGGATTGTGAGAACAAGGAATGAAGGGTAGGGGGGCAGAGTGCCTCATTTTAATAAGCCCCCAGAAGAGCTGGCATCTTACTAGCCATGAGAGAACACACCAGACTACTCAAAAGGGCTGAGATGGCAGAGAAAAGCAGGGCTGGGCAGGGAGGTGGGAGTGTGGGAGGTTCAGAAGGCCCCAGGGAATCATTTCCAACTCTAGTGGGAAACATCTTTCAAATTCCTCTCTTCCTTCATAGCTGCCCCCTCCCCCCTCATCTGTCAGCTTCTGTCCAGAGAAATCCCATAAATCTACCTTGGAGGAATACAGGAGTGGCGGTGGTCTAGAGGAGCCTAGGGGTCAGGGTAAAGGGCTTGCCTGAGGCAGAGCCCACTGGGCTGCCAGCTTCCGCAAGTCCAGGCTCCCCGAGCCCAGGCCACATGGGTGACTAATGAGGCCTAAGTCCCTCATCAGTGCACCAGCTTCCTCTGTAAGCCACCCTCCCAAGTTCCCAGCAGGCAGGGCGCCTGGCTCTAGGTGGGCTTCATAAATGGTTACTGGATGAATACATTGCTCCATAGCCAAGACCTTTCACTGTAGATAATCCACTTAGTGGTCATTTCGGTTCAGCACTGGGCTATTCGCATCCTTCAAGCTCTGCCTTTGACCCCAGCAGCCCACCGGGTCCGCTCCTCTCTGGAGCACTGCCGGCTGCCAGGACCAGGTGTCCTGCTCTCCTTACTGAGACACACTGAGTCTCTCCCCTCAGCCTGGGCTCTGAGTCTCCCCTGTCATACTACACCATATCTTTTCTTAGAGGCTGTCTGATTTGTACCTAACCAAGGTGGTGGCTGAGCAACAAAGATGTCCTTGACTGGCAGCCAGGCCTTTTGTGTGTACCTAGCCCAGTCTCTGATTGTGCTGATTGCGTGGAAGGCAAACGGAGGCCCAGAAAGTCAGCTGCTCTCTCCTGCGGTACACACAGATCAGGAGAGTATCGGGGCACTCAAGGAATATGGCCATAACCCAGCCTTCGGAGAGGTGAAAGTTGGGGCGGGGTGGGGGAGGGGCAGGTCGTGCTGGAGACAGGGGCCTGGACCAGCAGACCTCTAGGGGCACTCCTTCAGTGGGCCTTCCTGTGACTTTGCAGACACTCCCTCCAGCCGCTCTGCCCACCCCCCTCCATTGTCCCTGCTGACACTTTGGGTTGCACTTTGTGCTTTGGGGCTGTGGAGCCCCTCCTGCCCCCATCTCCCTACCGCCTTCTCTGTCAAAGGCTCAGCGGGGCTCCCCGCAGCCCACTAATTAGGCCGGCAGTGCAGCCACACCTGCGGCTTGGGAGAGGCTGAGGCCAGCGCCCAAGTGAGAGGCCAGGGTGGGGGCAAGACCGGGGCAGCAGGTCCGCACCTCCTCCCTGGGCCCCTCTGGAGTGATTAGGGGAGGGCGGACAGGGGCTGGAAGGCAGGGTCCTTTAGAATCAGCCCCAGACCCCCAGGAAGTCTGTCAGTATAACCTCCTGGCTTTTCTCTTGAGGAAACTGAGGCAGGCATCAAAGTGTGCAGTTTGCAGCTCAAGCCCTTGGTTGATCCAACCTGGTTCAATCCTTCCCGCCAGGCTGTCAGTCTGTCCTTCCTGACCCCACCTACATCCCAGCCCCAGCCTAGCATCTTCTGAAGAGATCAGATAAAGCTCTATACCACCTCCTCCCCTTGCAGAGCAACTCCAGTTCTGAGCAAAGCAAAGGGGCCTTCCTTTCCCAGGGTGGCTACTGCAGGGATTCACTCCCTATCCGGTTCTACCTGCACTCTCCTCTCGGGCCCATTTCCTCCTCAGCTTCTGCAGTGAAATCACCCTCAGGCCTGGTTAGCCCACCTCCTCCTCCAGGAAGCCTTGTCCTGGACTCACCCCACGAATGGCTGAGGGAGCCCTGGGGCTGGGGCCAGCTGCCACATCCCTCTGGACCACCAAATCTCTTTCTAGGCTCTTTTTGTCTCTTATACAAAGGTGCCCTGCCCAGGAATGGGTAGAGTTCTGGGGTGAGAGCCAGGCTGGAGCAGGGTAGGGGGGTCGGGGGCAGAGAGGGCCGCAGTCTCCCGCTGCAGCTCTGGGTTCTGGGCCTGCAGGGGCCCCTCAGGGAGAAAGGCCCTCAGGCACCTGGAGAAAGCCCTCTGTGAGGGAGAGGGAAGGCCTCCAGCCTGCCCCTGGGGGTTGGGGGGGGTGTCCGGGATGGGCGGGGCTGGCCCTGAATGTACCCCTAGGGATACTGGTATGCAGCCACAGCCCTGGTCATTGCAGTGACAGCTTCAGCCAGGCGGTGAACACAGCTGCAGGGGCTTTCCCAGCACTGACACTTGTGTCTGAGCCAGTCTTTGAGTTTGAACACTTCTGCTGAGGTGAGGGCCACACACAGTGACGCCCATGCAGGCACAGAGTGCTGCCAGCTGCCACCCCTGGGTTCCAGCCTGGACCAAACCTCCTGGGGGTTTCCCTTGTGCCAGGGCTTCTTGACTATAAATAAGGGCTGGCAGGGAGGGGAGTGGCTGGAGAAGGCCTTGCAGAGTCCCTAGGAGAGCACATTCAGGGGAGAAGGGAAGCTGAGCTCATAGGTCCAGCCCTCAGACCCCACCCAGCCCCCAGATAGCCCTCCTGTTCCCCCAGAGAAGAGGGGTGATGGGGAAGGTGCCTGCAGGGGAAAGCCATCACACGTGACTTAGCTTAGGTCTCCAGGCCTGGGCTCTGGACCCAAGGGGGATGCCAGTCACTGCTCTTGGTGCCCCCAGCTTTGCCCTAGGGGTGAATCTGGACCTCCACCCCTCCAGTACTTCCACAAGGCAGGGCCTGCAGGGCCTCCTGAATTCAGTTTCTCCCAGCTGGAATGTACTCCCCCCCTCAGTGCCTGCCTCAGGCCTCAGGAGGCACCCTGCACCCTGCTCTGTCCACCTGTGCCCCTGGGCCTGCCCACTCTGCACTAGCTCTGGTCTCTGTGGGTGTTGGCCCCACTGCCCTAGCTCTCAGCAGCCCTTTCAGGTCACCCCTGCCCCTACTGGACCGGGTAACTGTAGGGGAGAGAGGCTGTACTGGGCCAGCCTCTTTCCCTACACACTCTGTTAGAAGCCTCTGGCTCTGCTTGGCTGCTGCTGGCCAGGCCAGTTTACTCCAGTGAGCTAGGCTGTCTGAGAATTCAAGAATTTGCCAGGCTAGGGCAAATGACCTTGGACAGGGAGAGATTGGAGAGGGGGAATTCCCTTTGGTCCTGGGTGCCTTCTGGGCCCTCTGCCCCAGACACCTGGACTTGGCACCCCCTGGCAGGACGGGCAATCAAGTCACACCCAGGGATTCACCCTCTGGAACCTTACAAGGTGTACTCCAGCACTTGTGACCACACACACCCCTACACCCGATGCCAGGCACTCCCCCTCCACCAACCCTACACTGGCAGACATGTGACATCACTTGACCACGCATTCGCTGTGTTCTTCCCATGAGCATACATGCTGTGCACATGTACACATGCACACTCACCCTCGCCCTGAGTATACCAGGATGCATATACAGCCACCTGTTTCCTCTTCCTGATTGCACACACACTCAAGCTGTCACACACATACGTGCACACATCCTCACCCAAATGAAGGTAGGAGCATACACACATCCAGGCCCATGCCATCCCCCAGGTTACACACACAGACAGCCTCTCCTAGAACGCACACACGACATACACCCATTGACATGACACGTAACACGTCATGTCCCCACTCTGAGAGTGCACACCTACTCTGCAGTGCCGCACACAGCCCCCGAGACGCTGAATCATACATTTCCTTCTGCTGAGTGTTCTGGCTCACACATGCACATACCCCAAACACACACACATTTACACAGGAGCATGTACACACAAACACTCACACTCAGGGGGAGGGGGGAGCTCTCTCTGGACTTGAGGTATCAGGGCAGGATCAGGGTGATGACCCGAAGGTGCTTGCAGAGACTCCTCTGCCCTCTCCCATGGGGCAGCCTGGACTGGGGATCTCCATCCCTCCACCTGCAGAGGTGGCCCTTGTCCAAGCATCCACCTGCCTTACTCCACTGGACCCTGAACTCCCTAGGTCTTCCTGGGCCTCAGATCTTCCTCTTTCTCCGAGGCTGAGAAGCAGGACAGAGGGACCCCGCAGCCACCCCAACCTCATCCACGGCGGGGTCATACTCACTGACTCTGGGGTGGGTGATGTAGTTTCGGGTGACTGCTTGCATGTGTTCTCTGGCTGTGCCCAGGTTGTAGCCGCCTCTGGGGAGCCCCCCAGGCCTACTGTCTACCTTCGTGGCCATGGTGAGGCAGCAGGCTGGGAGCTGAGTAGCTGAGACTGCTGGTGGCAAGCCGACACTCAGGACCCAGCTGGAGCTGGAGAGAGCTAACCAGACTGCGCCTGCGGCCACCCCTCCCCTCGCCCTCCCCTGGCTGACTGTGAACAGTGTTGACTGTCAACAGGGAAACCAGGGGCTCTGGCTCTGGAGCCCTTCCCCATCTGAGCGGTGCCCTGGGCCACCTGGAGGAGGAGGCTGGGAGAGGGGAAGGCTGGCCCTCTAACCTCTGTCCTTAGCTCTTCCTCCACCCCAGCCTGCAGCCAGTGTGAACTCAGTTCCCCCCACAGAACTTGAGGTGCTCTCACAGTGCCAAGCCCCTCACTATTATCACTTAGTGGTCTCCCCACTACATCCCTTTTCTGGCAGGCTGCCCCCTCCTTTGTCTCCTCACTGTCTCAACCTGCCTTCCTTCATGTTGCCCCCTTGCCCCGACCATACCTGGGGACTTCTTCCCCTGCACAATTTCATTACCTTTTTTGAACATCTATAGAGGCTCATTCTTGCTAGCTTCAGTGCCACCTCCTACAGGAAGCCTTCCCTGGATTCTCCAGCACTCTGGATTCACCACACATCTGGTCCCTTTCCTTTGTCATACCCTTTTGGAGAGTTCTCTCTTGTCACCACCAATTGGCTATGAGCCCCCAAGAGCTGAGTTTGTATCTCCTCCAACGGACTGCAGTTTCCTCAAGCCTTCCTGTCTCATAAGATTGAGTGCTCCCTGGGAAGCAGGGCAGGGCTCTCTCTGTCTATCATAGGGCCCTGTCTTACCTGTGTGTGTGTCCCCTGCAGGGTCCCATGCAGCAGGTCTGCCCTGCCATTTTCAGCCCAGGGCAGCAAGTACAAACGGAGGAGCCCTCTTAGCACTGGGTAGCTAGAGCTGTGCTCTCCCCTGGGCCCACGGAGTACAGCACAGGTCTGCTGGGCAAGGCAGTGAGGATGCTGGCTGGGGAGGGGGGCCCGCCCAGCCATGTGCTCAGGTCACCCTCATGTCTCATTCCAGACTCAGGATTTCTTGGCATCTCTAAGGCCCTCCCCAGACTACACCTCTGAGCAGAGAGAAGGGAGGAAGCACAGTTGCTTGAGGAAACCCAGTCTGCGTGACTCAGGGCAGCCAATCTGAAACCAGGTATGCTTCCCAGCACAGACCGCAGTGGACTGTGTTTGTCTAGTTCCCCCACCAGTTGAAATCTTACCCGCATCCTCTGGCCTGAGGCCCTGGTTCAGATCTCTGGTCTCTCTCTCTCTCACAGTTCCCATCCTTTCAAAGAACTCTCTTGCAGGGGAGGGAGGTAGAGGGTGTGGTTATGAAGGGGTAGCACAGGGAGATGCTTGTGTCAATCAGCAGGTCTCCATCTCGTTTGCAGCAGTGGTTCTGAGGATCTTACACAGGTGATAAAACAGCACAGAACTGCACACACGTGGTACTAAGGTCTGTTTCCTGGCTTGATATTTCACTGTAGTTACTCAGCCATTGGGGGAAACTGGGTGAAGGAATTCTCTGGACTGTCTTTTCAACTTGCTATAAGTCTATGATTACTGCAAACAAAAAGTTAATTACCGTGTCTTACTTGAACAAAAAAAATCATTTTTAAGTGCTTCCTGTTGTGGTGGTTATAATGGGTGGGCCTGCTAGCATGTGGGGTTTTGCCTAGGTTTGCCTTTGATGCCCTCTCTCTGGCTGTCTGGATCCCGGTCTTGTCTTTCACTGTCCATCCTCTCAAAGGATTTAATGTTTCCCCCTCTCGGGTATTTTTCTGTTTGAAAGCGGAGCTTGCCAAAGGGCAATGCTTAGCCAGGGGCTTGGTAATGCCTGGGTGGAAGCTCTAACGGAGAGTGGGGGTTAGGGGCCTATTGACCCACATGTGTGGGGACCCCAATCTCCCATGGCCATGAACTTGGCGCCAGTGTTTGCCTCCCACCCCCACTAAAGGTCCCTTGACTCAGCCCATTTTCCTTCCCAGTGCGGAGAGGCAGAGGGGATTGAGGAGCAGTGGTGGTGCTGTGGGGATTCTTTCCCTTCTAGTCATTGTTTTCCTTTTATTTCAGTGAAAGGCACACCCACACACACTTGACTCACACACACAAGCTGCAGGACCACAACTATCTGGTCAAGAGTCTCTGTGCTGGGGTCTGGGTGGGACCACCTGGCCACCCCCCTCACCTGGGGGCCTGCTCAGGACAGTCCACTGGGGCTCAGAAGGCAGGGGTAATGCTGTGTTTGGGGACTCCGTGCCACACGGGGGTGGAGGCTTAAGCGTTAGTTTTCTTGCTGCTGCCCAGGCCGCCTGGGTTCCATTCTAGCCGGCTGTAGGGCTCGAAGGCCGAGGAGCCCAGCTTGTAGCGGACAGGCAGGTCCCGGAGCGACGCAGTGGAAAAGCAGAGCACTGGCAGAGGGGGCGGCAGTTGGGGGGACACTGAAGCCGAGGTCAGAGGGTTGAGGCATGGGGAGGAGTCCCTGGGGTCACCCAAGGAGGTGCCCCTGTGGCCAGCAGGTAGGCCCGTGGGGTTGGGCATCAGTGCCAGGAGGCTGGGGGCCTGGGGCACAGGCAGCAGCCAGCCCTGCTCCAGAAGCCGCAGGATGCTGGATGTGGCAAGGGCCTCAGAGGCCGAGGAGGACGCTCGCTTCTCCAGGTCTCTGCTGTGGTCTTTCTTCTGCTTCGTGCGGCGGTTCTGGAACCAGACCTTCACCTTGGGGCAGAGGTGGGGAGGGGTGTCAAGAAAGAGAGGGGAGGGACCAAGCAAAGTGGGGGCAGATGGGAGGAGGAAAGGGGGCAGGGGGTGGGGAGTGGGGGAGCAGGGGTGGAGTAGAAGGGAGATAAGAAGGTTGGGGATTGTCATTAAGGGCTTCCCACAGCCAGCCTGTTCTTAGTGAACTGATAAGGGATCTGGCACCCAAATCATGACAGGGGCTATGGTCTAGAAGGATGTGGCCAGAGAAGGGCCAAAGTGGGGCCCTCTAGAGCGTGGGGACTAGAGCAGAGCTGCTGCCCAGTGACGACTGTCCCATAGCTCAACATGGCCTCTGAAGTCAGCTTTCTAAGCAGCCCTGGCCACTGCCGTTTGAAGCTGTCAGCAGCCCCCTCCCACCTCATCACCTACACAGGCCGGGCTCCTCAACGAGATGCCAAGTGTGGCAGGATGTGGCAGGGTGTTGAGGGGCCGCATACTCAAACCTGGGGACAAAGAGGTGCCAAGTGCCCCGCACCCTATATGGAGCTGCCCACAAAAGGACAGAGAGGGGTCCTTTTCCCAGGTTATGAGAGGAGGCAGACCTCGCCCTCTACAGCCCCCAGGGCCTGGTCCTCCAGCCCCCATCCTCTTCTACAGAAGAAACCAGAGGCTGGGAGGGAAGCTCAGTGGTCAGCCCTCTGACCAGGCATTTCCTCCCCTCTAAGGAAGAAAGAGTTACCCCACCACCACCCACAGCAGGCAAACAGTGGGGTGCTGAAAGAATCACACGCAGGAAGGAAGCATCTGAGAGGAGGAGAGACTGGCATTCGCTGCCTGGACGGAAACTTGTTGAGCATCTGTAGGCCCATGTCACCGGTGCCGTCACTGAAGCACTCAGACTTGGGTCCCCAAGAGGCTGGCTCTGTTTCTGTCGGGAGGTGTCAGGCAGCCAGCAGCTGGCTGGGGCAGTGTGCCAGCAGCACAAGAAGGGACCATGGGGTGGAGGGCCCGGGAAGAGAAAGACAGGGAGGCCTCGCTGGTTCCCCACAGCTTTCAGGGGACACAAGAGAGGCCAGCATCTCCTGTGGCTCTGGCAGTGGAGCCCAGGGGTCAGGAGGAGGAGGCAGGAGCGGGAGGCCACCCAGTGGGGACGAGGCCAGAGCTAAGCCTGCCTGGGGTGATGCTAAACAACACCTCCTTCTAGGCGCAACCACTCCACCAGCAGAGGCCTCACCTCCTCTCAGAACAGTGAGTGAGGCCTGTTCTGAGTTGGGGAGGGAGGAATAAAAGATTGGAAACAGATGCAAGTTTGGTGTTCTGGACTCAATAATGGAAAGTAACCAGAAAGTTATGGGGTCTACTTGAGACTGATTGCTTGATTCGTCCACTCACTCATTCATTCAACAGGTATGTGTGGAGTGCCCGCTACTCCCCAGGCGTTACTCTAGGCTCGGGAGTGGACAGAGTGATGGGGAGACAGAGAATGAATAACAAATGCCAGCAAACAGGCATAAAATGCCCAGGTGGCAGTAAGTGCTTTGAGCAGTGTCTCAAATTGTTTGTGGTGAGGAACCACTTTTTAAAGCTTCCAATCTGTCACAGTCCAATAGTTTTGTAAAATACAATTACAGTGAATTATAATTACTCTCCATTTCTGCAGTTGACTTGTCATGGACAGCTAATAGCTTGTGGGGGCCAGCCCAAGGACACACTGGGGGAGGCACTGCTTTAGGGAACTGAGGCAGGATAAGGCACGGAGGAGACTGTCTTCTTAATGCGGTTGCAAACAGCCTCTCTGAAGAGGTGACGTTTGAAGGAAATACCAGGAAGAGAAGGCCAAGGGAGATACTACCAAGTCTGGCTGAAGGAAGTGACTGGAAAGAAGAATCCTTCTATGCTTGTCACTCCAGGAACCCCATTGCTCCAGACAACGATCCCCTGGATCCCTGGGGGCTGTGGCTCTGCATGCCACTGCACACCTTCCCCTGCTGGGAAGCCTCTTGGCCAAGCACCTACACTCCCAGGACCTAGGCAACACCCTCAAGAGCCCCTGAGCCTCAGTTTCTCATCTCTAAAATGGATACAAAAATGCCTGAGCGATTGCAGGGATCAAATAAGGAAATCATGCAGAGGGCTTTCCTGGTGCCTGGCGCACACCTAGTGTGAGTTATTACTTATTGCTTTCCTCTCTGTTCCAAGCTCTGAACTAGGGGGAGGGGACAGGCCCAGAAGTCATGATTTCTGTTCTCAGGAAGCTGAGGGGTCTTGTGGGAGCAGCACTAACCCACTGCCAACAAAGGAGAGCAATTAGGGACAAAGGGAGTGGCAGAACAGGGGTGTGACTGATAAGGAATGACAAAACTCTTACAAGGTGTCCTGTCCTCCTGCAGCTCCGGGTGTAGCAGGGAGAGGTGGGCGTAGGCCCGCAGCTGCATGTGGGAGTGTCCTGGGAAGGGGGCCTGGAAGGGGAGGAGAGGAGAAGGCAGAGGGCCCCTGGAGCAGGGGCTGGGGTCTGGCATGCCCATTTTGGGGGCACTTATGGGCTTGGCCAGAGGTTCTTACCCTCCCTGCACTTTGGAATTACCTGGGGTCAGTTTGTTCTAAATTCTGATGCTCTTGCGCCATCCCAACCCATTAAACCAGAATCTCCAGGGGTTGGGGACTAGGCGCTGGTGCTTGTTGAAAAGCCCCGAGGGTGACTAATGTTGCAAACCCTGGTGGTAGGTAGGTGCTGGAACTACAGAGGCGGTGGTGACATGCTCTGGCCATCTACTTCCCAGCACTGATCCCATGGCCCCTAAGGGATTGATCCCTGAGATTCAGCCAGCAAGGAACAAACCAAGAGACAGCCTTAGTGCCTCTGAACGAGCCCCTCCTTTCCTCCAGGAAGCCTTCAGTTCCATCTCAGGACTCATGCTCTCAGGGTTAAATCCAAAGTCACTGATCCTTTAAGGCTCAATTCAGCTGCACTCTGCATAGGCCAGGTCCCATCCTGAAGGGCACTTCCTGGGGCACCGCCCGCCCCTTGTCCTCTTAGTGCCCTGCTGTGGCTCCCTGTAGGCCGCCGCCTCCCTTCTCCCTCTTCTGGTTCCCCTGGAACCCAGTAATGCTCGGCGGCTTGTGAGGCCAGACAGTGAGCCCTGGTTGCACACGGCAGGGGCATAGTTTCCCGCTGGCTACCAGGACTGGGAGATCACCCGTGACCTTTACTGGTCTCATGGTCATTGTTAAATTCCAAGCTTCACTGTTGATTTGGAAATGACATTAATCTTTAAGAGACTACTTTCTGTGACAGTGGGCACACACTGCATCTGAGATGAACGGTACCTGTGCACCCGGATGGGCCTGGTTGTATAACCTGGACCCAGAAGGCGCCACCTAGTCCGCTGTTCTGGAAGAAGCCATCTGGGCGAGGTGATGGGCAGAGGACAACTGCTGAAGGGCTGGAGCTGTTCTTACCTGAGCTAAGTGTGAGCCTGTCCGCACTGGGACTTGGAAGTTTGTCCTCAGCCCGGCGCCTTTGCCCCTGGCCCCGGAGAAGTCCCCCAGGCCAGCCGAGTGAGGGACGTCTTGGAGCCAGCCCCCCACACTTCCTTGCCCGGCAGCCACATCTTCTCCTCTCATTTCCCACTCTGAGCCTGCTGCTCTGGGCATTCATTTGCATGACACGTAGGTAGCATCCAATACATGCCAGCACTGCCAAGAGCTGAGAAAACAAAAATAAAAACTCCAACTCTATCTATTTGGTTCTCAGACACCAGCAGCAGGGGAAATGGACAGATCAGTTTGTTCTGGGAGAAGCAGCAAACTATATAGTCAAGAAGACCCTGAGGTTGGACGGCCCTGGATTCAATTCTGATTTTTCTCTAATTAGTTGGATGATGTGGATCAAGTTATGTAACTTCTCTATGTCTCAGTTTTCCCATGTGTGAAATGGAGGTTTATGCCTTCTGATAAGTTTGTTATGATGATGCAATAAGCTAATAATCATGGACTTAGGAAAGTTTCTGGCAGATACTGAAGTCTTTTAAGCAGTGTGGTAACCACATGAGCTGAACAATGTGTAGATTGTTAGATCTTCTCTAAAAATTCCAACTTGGAACCTGTGGGCTGAGCATGGAATCTGAGCCAGGAATCTCTATTTCAACAAGATTCCCAGGGGTTCTACAATGTAGGCGGTGTGCAAGCCATACCTAGAAACACTGCTTTAATCAAACCCTGAACATTCTCTTTGAGACAAGGCACAGTGACAAAGTGTATCAGTAGGTTTCTACAACCAAGGAGAATTGGATTGAGTTGGGTGGCCCTCTCCCCTGACATGGAGAAGAGCTTTCAGCACATGCCACCCTAGGAGGAGGTAGGTAGATGGAGGGTTCCTCTGATGGTTCCAAGAGATAGAGCCCTCTGAGACCTGCCCTGCTCTCTGGGGACTTCCTTCGATGCAGAGTCATGGGGTCTGGCCAAGCCAAGGCCAGAGGTCAGCCGTACTCTGTCTTGTTCACTGTTCCTACATTCATCCGAAGGACCCTTCGTCCTGTAGAACTCTGGAGGTGGTGGGGAGCAAGGGCTCACTGTTCTGCTCACTGGGCCCTGTAAGTGCCATTCTCATTTAAATGTGCAGACACTTAATTGGGCACCTAGAGGTTAAAGGAGAGACTAGGAATGAGAAGGGGCCCTGAGGAAGCCCCACATCTTCTCTGCCTGAATTAGGGCCCTCCTGACATGCAGGATAGAGAGTAAAGATGCTGGCTGGCAGCAGGAAGAGAAGAGCAGCAGACACCAGTGAGCAGCTGGGTGGCATCCCCAGAGGAAGACAGAGGGGAGATCTGTGAGTCCTGGCGCTGAAGCCCTTGGGTCCAAAGCAGCCTTTGGTTTTCAGTCTCCGCCAGGCCTGTTTATACCATGGTTCCTGTCCTTGGATTTCCAGAAGACTGTGCCTTTTTATTCCTTAGGAGTCCATCCATTATCTGAGCACACTTGAAAGAATCATGTATCCTTTTCCCCAAAAGAACCTTGACCAAGACCCTCAGATAAATCAGAGAGAAACTAGCTCCCAAAGAAATGTCTGACATACCTTCTTGACATGTCTGCTGGGATTGCAAACTGAACTGATACAGAGCAATTCTCTAGACTCCTCTCCTGTATCCTGCTCTTCCCCAACCTTCCCAAGTTGTTAAGTGGCATCGCTGACCATTCTCACTGCCCACCCAGTTCAAGCTTGAACCACTTCTCTTTCCCTTGCCCTGTGCAGGTACTACAAGGGCAAGTCCTAACAGGTTCTATCTCCCAATCTGAGTATATCTCAGATCGGGTCACTTCTACTTCCCACCCGCCAACTCTGTTCAAGACCCCACATCACTAGCCCCTAACTGGCCCACTCTTGTGCCCATATTCCATTTTGGCAGCTGGTGAGACCTCTGTAAAATGCCAGTCCTTTCATATCAGTCTTCCTTTAACATCTTACTATGGCCTCTAAACACTTCATGATCTGTCCCACCACTGACACCGTTACCCTGTTTTACCCTCCAACTCAGACACACTGACCTTCTGACACGTAGAATATTCCATGCCAGTTTCTATTCCCAGGTCTTTATAGTTACCCTGTATCTCAACTTCTCTTCTGGCTTCTCATCTGGCTGTCTCTTCCCTATTACTCACACCTCAACTCAGTGTCACCTCTTTGAGAAGCTTTCCTTGGCCACCCCAATAAAAGTTTCTCTCCTATTGCCTGTCATCTCATGCTTTACCTCCCTCACAGCACACCTCCCACTTTCAAATGCTGCTTGTCTTTCCCAGGCATAAGTTAAGCCTCCTGAGGGCAGGTGCCTGGTCTCTTTCATTCCCTGCTGTATCCCCAGTGCCTAGAACAGAACCTGGTACATAGTAGACATTTATTAATATACTGAGAATTCTAGCTATATAACCTTGGGCAAGTTAATTAACCTTTCTGAGTTTTCTGAAATGGGGCTAATACTACCCATAAAGCCATCTTTTTGTAAAGATTAGATGAGCTAATAAATATATCTGCTTTAAATTATGAGTGTTACTTAAATTTCGTTGCACTGTTTCCTTCTCTTTAAAGAAGAAATAATACAGACCTATTCTGGTATAACAAAAAACATATGCAGTCTTTGTCCTTGGTTATTGACAGAGCATTCCTGAAACCTTTGAAATTTCCTGAGTGATTGGAGTATCTTCTGTTACTCATAACAAGCCCCTTTTGAGCTCCGAGTTTATGCTAATGAGGTGCCTCAGACTGGGCCCTTAGATAGTTTCAGGATGGGCTTTGGTCCCAGAAAGACCAGACAAGCAATTCAATTAGAGATTTGAACTTTTAGCCCCACCCCTGACCTCCAGAGAGGGGAGGTGGGCTGGGGGTTAGCTTGTAAAAACTCTTTAACAATGAGATTCAGAGAGGTCCTGTGTCCATGAACGCAATGAACTGCTGAGAGGGTGGCGCACCCAAAAGGTATGGAAGCTCCTCAAACACCCCACCCCACCTTGCCCTATGCATGTCTTTCATTTGGCTACGTGATGTGTATCCTTTAAAATAAACCTGTAAATGTAAGTAAACTGATTTTTGAGTTCGATGAGTCATTCTAGCAAATTTATCAAACCTGAGGAGGGGGTGAGGAACCCCCAAATTTAGAGCCTGTCAGTCAGAAACCATGTGGTCCCTGTGATTTGCAGCTGGCATCTGATGAGGGACTGAGTCCCTAACCTATAGGGTCTGTGCTCACCCAGGGAGTTAGCATCAGAATTGCACTGAATTGAACTGAATGGTTGGATGTCCAGTTGGTGCTGGAGGACTGGAGCATTGGTTGCGTTGGTGTTGGGAATGGCCACAAATTTGGTGTCAAAAGAAATGCATCACTCCTGTCCCTGAAGGCTGTGGGGAGAACTGAAGGCGCAGAACATGCCAAGCATTTAGAACAGAGCCTGGTATGTCGGAAACTCTTGGTAAAAATGTCAGTTAGACCTCACACTACCTGCAAAACCCCAGGATTGGGGAAAGAAAGGAGGGTAGTAAGCAGCGATTAGTAAGCTGAGGACTCACTGAGCTTGCTCTGTGCCCAGCCGTGTGCTGGGCTCTCCCAGGTGGCCTGAAAAGGAGATGTGGCCTTCAGACACATTCTTGTCCTAGGGAAGTGCACACTGGCTGGAGCCCACCACACCACACACACTTGATCAAGCCACACGGCAAAGGTCTCCTGGAACAAGGTCAAGAAGTCTTAGGGAAGGCTTCCTGGAAGAGGAATGGCTCAGCTTTGACCTTCAAGGACTGGTAGATGTAGAGAGTGTGGAGGCAGGGAAAGGAAGGATGAGGACCACACGGGTTGCTAGCCTGGGCATCAAGATGCCTTGGAGAGAAAAGTTTCAGGTGAGAGTCTGGGGGCCAAACTAGGCGAGGCAGAGGGTGGTCAGGACAAAGAGGAGGGGCAGGTATTGCTGGGTGATTCTATGCCTAGACTTCCAGAGCAGAGCCTGGCTTTCCAGCGCCCCCCGCCCCCGCCCTTAGCTGGAGAGAGGGCCCAGCTGCCCTGGCCATCTGCTGGGTTGCTTGGAGCTCTGCAGCGCCAGCTGGAGGAAAATGGGTCCAGGTGGAGATGACCCGTGCCTGTGGGACAGCAGCCACTTCTGCCTTAACTGCTGTGGGGGAGCCAAGAGGGGGACAGCAGCGGGCAGTGCAGAAGCCTCACGGTCTCCATTGCCTTCCCAGGAAGCTTTGCAATGTATCTATTAACTGATTTCCCCTCATATGTGAGATTAAGCTAGAGTTGTAGCTAAATAAGGGCCTGAGTCATTCTTTGACAATCTCCAAGATGGTTGCAGGAAGAATGCCAGGCTGCTTGTCCAAATCCTAGCTCTAGAATTTATTAGTCATGTGACCTGGGGCATCACCTCACCTCGGCTGTAAAATGAGATAATACTGGCTGTTACATCATAGGGCTGTGGGCAGCGATCAGTGAACTGGCATAATCAAAGCACTTGGAACAGTGCCTTGGCACAGTAAGTACTAAGTTACTATTATTACTATCACTATGCAGCTTTATTACCAGCTTAAAATGCTTCCATTCACACAGAGTAGATGCTCAGTTTGCAGAAGTTTTTCCTTTAGGTTAAGGATAGTATTGTTAAAATGCTAAGCTTTTCTGAGGCACCCCCTCCCCTTCCTGCAGGATCTCTCAGCACTGACACTCCTCTGTGCCACTCCCTGTATCTAGAGTGCCCCTCCCTCTGACTTTTCTGGCCTTTTTCCTTATTCCACCCAAATGCCTGATACATCCAGAAGCTCCCGCATCCCCCAACCCAGATGGTATAACCCACTCTCTCCTGTCAGCACTGTTATTTGCTCTAGTTTACCTGTAACTTTAAGTCTTTCCCTAAGGTATGTCTGAACTCCTCCAAAGCTGGCTCTCCCCTAGCAGCCCACAGGCCTCACACCTAAGGAGTTCCCAGGCTGCCAGGGTGGGGGTGGAGTGGCCTGGCCCACACTTTTACCTGGGTCTCTGAGAGGTTCAGCTGGCGGGCCAGCTCAGTGCGCTCACGGCCCACCACGTACTGGCAGCGCTGGAACTCCATCTCCAGGCGGTACAGCTGCTCAGCCGTGAAGGACGTGCGGGTTCGCTTGGGCCGGTCCAGGTCCAGGCCCTTGGGCAGAACAATTTCCCGGATGGTCCCTTTGGCATCTGCAGGGGCCATGAAAGGAGGTAGGTTAGTTCACTAGTTGAGACATTAGGCCACTGGCAAGCATCTCAGTAAGAGGCAGTGTGATCTAACAAGGAGCTCCTGGGCCTGGGCCTGGCAGTGTGACTTCTGACAAGTTGCTTACCCTCTCTGGGCCTAGCTTTCTCAATCACCAAAGCAGTGTGTTGTAACTAAAGGGTGTATGTATGGGAATGGCCTCAGAACATCAAGTCTAGCATCACAGGATGGGCAGAAAGCACTAACTGACCCAGCCAGGACTCTGTTCCCTTAGCAGAGTAAAGAACAAATGGAAAGAGATATACCAGTTCCAAATACAGAGGAAAAGATAGGTTAGAACTGGATATGATCATTTAGGTAAGGCTTACTAGAGATGTCCAGAGCCAGGTCCTAAGCCCTGTGTGTGTGCATGGCTGTGCACTCTGTCCACAGAACCTCCTGGGGTCCATAAAGAGATTAGTTGGTGTAGGGGAGAAGAGAGCCTGGGGAACTCAAGGACCATTGCTACTGGGGTGCAAGCTGCTGGGTGCCTTCCAGAGAGGGGACTTCTGCCACTCCTTCTATGTACCTAGTCCCAAACAGCAGGGCCACCCTCCTGGGCTCTGGAACAAAGCCCTTCATGCACAGGGTCTCCAATATTCAGAACTTACTTAACAGAGGTTTAAAACCCTACAGCTACATTCACCAGATATTACCACTTAAAGAACTCAGTAAAAGCAGCAAATCGTTCAGCAAAAGTAAAATTTGGAAGCAGGGGGTATTTTATATATATGGATACATCAGCTTTAATCATAGGGGTGAAAATGATCCATGTTTGAGCTACACACATTGATGACTTGAAATTTAGTTATTTGAAAAATTTATGTCAAAAATTAGAGTGTGGAAATATACAGCACTGTCTTCTCTAGGACTTACCAAACCACGCCCAACACATGATGCTGATCATAATGAAGCTAAACTAAGTTATTTATGGTTACATAGGAAGCTTAGTGTCAGTGGAAACCTTAGCAATTGAAGGCAGCCCTGGCTCAGTGCAGGGAAGAATGTCCCCCTCCACAGGTGCAGGAATTCCAAGTCTCTAGGGTGCATGCACAGCTGGAGTTTGCAATGTGGCCCAAGTGTTAGTGGCCCCAGCTGCTCATGTTTTAGTCATAGTAATAGCCAACTCCTCTGAGTGCTTGCTCTGAACCGGGCACTATTTTAAGCACTTTAAGTCTCCCAATGTCTCAATGAATTTGGAACTTTTTTTTTTGTTTTTTTTTTTAGATAATTATTTTTTATTGAAGCGTAGTTGACACACACTATTACATTAGTTTCAGGTGTACAACACAGTGATTGAACATTTATATACATGATAATTCTAGGTACCAGCTATCACCATACCAAGTTGTTACAATATTTTGACTATATTCCTTATGCCATACATTACATCCTGGTTACTTATTTATTTTACAATTGGAAGTGTGTGTATATATATACATATATATATATGTGTGTGTGTATATATATATATATATTTTTTGTGAGGGCATCTCTCATATTTATTGATCAAATGATTGTTAACAACAATAAAATTCTGTACAGGGGGGTCAGTGCTCAATGCACAATCCTTAATCCACCCCAAGCCTAATTTTCATCAGTCTCCAATCTTCTGAAGCATAACGAACAACTTCTTACATGGAGTACAAATTCTTACATAGTGAATAAGTTACATGGTGAACATTACAAGGGCAGTCATCACAGAAGCTTTCGGTTTTGCTCATGCATTATGAACTATAAACAGTCAGTTCAAATATGAATATTCATTTGATTTTTATACTTGATTTACATGTGGATACCACATTTCTCTATTATTATTATTTTTAATAAAATGCTGAAGTGGTAGGTAGATACAAGATAAAGGTAGAAAACATAGTTTAGTGTTGTAAGAGGGCAAATGTAGGAATTTGGAACTTTTATTATCCTCATTTTACAGACAGGGAAATGGAGGAACACATTCTAAATAACTTATCTGAGGTCACACTGACAATGTTAATAAGTGCTAAAGACAGCCTCATTTTATTTTATGAATATTTGTTTTAGTAATCTAATGATTCAGCTGATAGGTTAGAATGAAGAGGACTTTGGTCATGGGTAAAAAATGAAATCTTCTGGATGGGTTCAAACTGCCCTGGAAGGCATTGGGAAGGACTCCCTTTGGGATGTGCTATCCTTCAGGAGGTTTCCTGTGAGCCACAGGACTACAGATCCTACTTTTAGAATCCCTGCTATAGAGGGTGAACCTGAGGCCTCATGATTACTGAGACTGGTTCTTCTGGCTCCTGCTCATGTTCCCTTCTGAGGGCACCCTTTGGCTCATGGTGGGCTCCTGGCTGGCAGGTCTTGCCTCTGACCTCACAGGCTCTCATGCACCTTCCTGCTCACAGTCAGCCCTCTTGGAGAAGGTGAGTTTGGGTGGGGAGATGCAGTTGCTGCTCAGAAGTGCCCCCTCACACACACACAAGGCAGGTCTTGCCAGGGCACTGTCAGAGCACATCGAATAGATGTGGGCTTTGTTCTCAGAGTGCTGGTGTAAGCCATAGGCCTTTGGGACAGCTCAGGCTTCTCCCCAACTCCGGTACTTTCTACATTCCAAAAGGGTAAGTAATGTTTGTGACCCCGTTGTGACTGGGTCCCCTCTGCTCAGGTCCTACTGTTTCTAATTGTGAGACCAATCTCAGAACTTCCTCATGGCACCCAAGTGACTCCAACTCCAAAGGCACTGATTTCCTTAAAAGTGTCTTGAGGAATGTGGACTGGAGGAAGGGTGAGGGGTGTCATCCATGGTGGTGGCAGGTTTACATTCTCTCCCCAAGAAGCCTCCTGAAGCTCACCTAAAGCTCTGAGCCTGTGCTCCTAGCCACCAAGTCAAACCATGGGTGTCCCCACCCCTTTTCTTTTTCCTAGAAGAGCTAAGAGAGGCACACCTGCCTCAGGGAGCGGCCAAGGTCAGCTCAGGGACTGGGGAGGTAGGGACCACATAAGAAAGGCAACCTCAGACTTGCCTGTCGGTTATCAAAAAATGCCATACAAACAAGCACATGAAAAGGTGTTCAGCATTGTTAGCCATTAGGGAAACGCAAATTGCAACACAAGAAACACATACTGGAATAGCTAAAATAAAAAATACTGAGAGTGTAGAAGGCTGGTGAGGATGTGGAGAAACTAGATCTCTCATACACTGCTGGTGGGAATGTAAAAGGGCAGCCACTTTGTAAATGGGTCTGACAGTTTCTTTAAAGACTTAAACATATACTTACCATAGAACCCAGTGACCACACTCCTGGGCATTTATCCTAGAGACACAAAATCTTAGGTTCACATCAAAACCTGCATGTGAATGTTCATAGCAGCTTGATTTGTAAGAGCCCGCAAAGGGGAACAATCTAGGCGTTCTTCTGTAGGTGACCGGTTAAACAAACTGTGCTCCCACTAAACAGTGGGGCAGCACTCAGCAGTAAAAAGGAATGACTGCTGATAGACACAGCAATTTGGATGAATCGCCAGGAAATACACTGAGTGAATAAAAACAAAGTCAGTCCCCAAGGATACATGCTGTATGATTCCATTTACATAATGCTATCAAATGACAAAGTTATAGATGTAGAGAACGGACCCAGGATTGATGGGTTAGGTAAGGAAGGATGTGGCTGTAATGGGGTAGCAGGAGAAAGTTCCTGGTAGATCATGATAGGACAGGTCTATATCTTGATGGTGGTGGTAGTTGTATGAATCTAAAAATGTGATAAATGTCATAGAGTTATATATAAAAAGAAAAAAATACTAGTGTATGTAAAAATGTGTGAGAAAGGTCTATAGTCTAGTGGATTATTGTGTCAATGTCAATTTCCTGATTTTGGTAATGTAATATAGATATAAGATGTCACTATTGGGAGAAGCTGGGTGATGGATAAATGGACCTCTCTGTCGGAACTTCTCTGTACTACTTTTACAACTTCTTCTGAGTCTAAAATTATTTCAGAATAAGGCATTAACAACAGCAACAACAAAAAAATGCCATGAAGCTAAAATGGTGTTTTGTCACAGAAGCAGACAAATCCATTGGCAGAATAAATACAACAGTATTTCCCCAAAAAACTCTGCATTCCACTTGTGGTTTGTAAGATGACTTTAAATGGTACATAAGTAAACAGCAATCATTTCAAAATGCATGAATTTATTTTAATGTTACTATAAAAAAATTAAGACCTAAGATTTTGTGTGCATAGGACAAGGCTCAAGTAGGTATTTCATTTAAAAATGTATTATGCTAAAATACTAAGTAAATGAATGGAACATGACTATAACAGAAATGCTAAAGATGATATTTGAATGACTGAATATTGGGAAACAATGAAATCAAGAGTACACAATCAGATCCACATATTTATAGTGATAGAGTTTATGATAAAGGGAGTGTTCTAAATGGAGAAAGGTGGTCTAGTCAATAAATGGAGTTAAGTGACTTAGTGACTATAAAACATATACATATATATATATATATGTTTCAAATAAGCAACAATAAGTTTCAAATGGATTAGAGAGCAAATCATAGACTATAAAATTATAAAGGCACTTGAAGGATATTTTTATAATCCTGAACTCGGGGACAGCTATCTAAGATGTAAAATGAAAGCAAAGGATGTATTTAACTCTATTAAAGTTAAAAACTATTGTATGACAAAAGCACCTAAACCATGGTAAAAATACTAAAAACAGAATTTAAGAGAATACTTTTTAAAAAAGTCAATGAAATAATATCCAGAATATGTAAATGCAATTATAAGTAAATGATGTTTTTAAAATGAGAAGTAGTCTAGCAGAAAAAATGGCCATTCACAGAAAAATATACCAAATGGCCAATAAACATATGAAAAGATGAGCAGTTTCACAGAAATCAGGATTATGCACATTCAGACAAGAGAAAATCATTTATCTTCCATAG